CTTTTAAATCAGCTTTATTCCTCCAAATTATTCAACTATCCATGACATCTACATCACATTCATTCTTTAGCATAATTGGAAACATTCGAAGAGGATTGATCACCATGAAGCAATGGGAAGGTACCTCGGTCTTCCAGTTAGAGGGAGACTATTTACCTCCAGGCATATTTTAACTGTGGCCCTGCATATTAATTTATTGTTGCAATCAATGCCAGGTTTTTTCATGCATTTCTTACCAATATCGAGACACGTTTTCTGAAAATAAATAAAATAACAAAGCAAGAACACACTTCATAATTCGTTATTCTTTCTTAAACCTTTAACTTTACTTAAGCAAAGATATTTTCATTTTAAAATGTCCATTGCATTTTACGTTAAAAGAAACTTTTTTTTTCACAAAATAAACCAATCAGTTGTAAATAGAACAAGAAAGATGCTAAGTTTTGATGATGGGTAAGTTTTTCAGTTAGTTGATGTCTTTTTTTTTTTGCAGTTCACCCGCCCACGATGATTTTTGATTTCTAGAATTCATTTATACTTCCGAGGAAGTAGCGCTTCTTCTATCTCTGAAAATTCTAGAAAAAGCTCCCATCTGGAACAATTATTGTTCACCGGAGAAGCCTATAGGACAGCTCCACAACTTTTTGCTTTACAGTCCCATGGTTGAAACAAAAGTCTTTAATTTAAATGAAAACCTAGCATGTATTCCCTCATTCAGTCATTTAGTCATACAATCATTCAATCATTCAGAATTCTAATTATCTATTTATTCGTATGTTCATTTCACATACGTACCTCGCCCGGAGTTGGCGTGGGGTGTGGATAAGGTAGCTTTGACTCGATGCAGGTTCTATATTTCTCATAACAAGCCAATTTTTTTACAAGCGTTAACCTTGGCGACTACCAGACAAATCCTCCGTGAAAGGTTACATAAATTCTGTTGATGATAAAATAAACTTTCCGATAACTTTCATTTACGCACATCACCTCTCTAAGGGGTTTTAGAAGTGTTTTTCTCGCGTGTCACTAAGTTGACCTCTTTATCAAATGAAGAGGTCAGAATATACTCAACACGCTCGTTGTTACATCACCTGCTAATTTAAACCCCTAAGTGGAACATTTTTAGGCCTTAAAAAAGTATTTCTGATATAAAAGAACGATGATATCAGTGGGGTGGCTCATAGTTGCTTTTGCCGATGGTATAGTTTTCTTCTGATACAGCAATACTTAAAATACAAAGTAGAAAAATTGGGCTTACGAGAGCAGGAAAGATCGTCGGTAGTTGAAGTTGCGGATCGTTTTCTTCTCAGCCAACTCTCTCAACAAATCTCCGCTTTCTTTATCTGAAAATTCATCGAGAGCTGAATGCTCAAAAGGCGATTTTGCCAAGGTGACTGAAGCTCCGAAAAACAGAACCAGTAGAAGAGATTTCATCTTGAATACGCTGCTATGTGGTTTGCAAGGCAATGGCGTGAAGTAACTGGAACACCTATCACTTTTATACACAATCGTGTCTTGTTCTGCATTAAAATGGGTATTGTAGATGACGAAGAAGTCTTTGCCCAAGCGTTGTTAGCGTAAATATCCCGCCCGCGGTAAAGGCAAACAGTTTACTTTGTGTCATCTAGTATTTTTAGATCTCGTAATACGGTATAACACATTGTCCTGTCATGAATTTCACAGATGGCCTGTTTAAGGTGGTCTACTAACCCAAGTCAGGCTTTGTTATACTTATTACTACAGATGACATACACAAATCTCGTCTGAGAAGTAGATATCATGAAGTAAAGATTCCGTGTGGCAAAGATTCTAAAGCGTAAGATATGAAATAGCTATTATATCAGCTTTGTTTAACAAGTCCCACATTTAAAATAAACAGAATAGTTAACTCAGTTATGTAAATTTTCTATTTCTTCTTCACGAACTCATAATATGCTTAGAGATAAACGAAATTCTTGTTGAAATAGCTAATAAAAAGACAAATCGATCAAAAATTTGGTACTTAGGAGGAATCATAGTGTTTTTTATCTACCGTTTTACTATTTGAACTTCACGAACGACTGTTACAACAATAAAAACACCACGTCAAATTCGAAATCATAAAACAGGGAAAACCTGAAGAAAGTTAAAATTAAAGTAACAGAAAACTGCACATTTCCTGTTGATATAATTACTGACCATACACAAGCAAGCATTAATTTTGTGGCCTTTTGGATTGTTGACAAGATAGATTGTAGACGACTGAATAACGAAAAATAAAGATAGAAATTAATAATATGTTATAAGTCAAGAGAACGAAGGGAAAAAAAGTAAAGAGCTAAAAAACTCATTTCCTTTTATACCAATGTAATAGCAAACTAGAATTGGATAAAAGTTCTTTAGACAAAAACGGTATACAGGAGGTAGGGCTGCGGGGAATAAAGATACGGATCCAAAACAAAAGAAAAACAAAGCTGATTTGAAAGTTTAAGGAAACCGCATCCATCTGTTTAGCCCAAACTAGAAAGATTTTGTGACCTGATTGAAAGGTATCAAGAAGAAAATATAAATTGGTATCCATCGCTGTAAGACTTCCCACAAACTTGGAAGAAGGAAGAGGTAATTGTACACTCCGCGTCGGAAACTGGCCTACATGAACGGTTTATATTCCAGGAACGCTAATTAATGAAGTAAAGGACAAAGAATAAAAGAGTAACTTAATTGAACGTAACCGGTTATTCTCTGATTGCTTATGCTGCCATTTGCACGCTATTCTATGTCCGAGAGAGTGTCTCTCTTCGCACGCAATTTGCGCTCTTTGAGCGATAAGATTTGGAAAAAATTATATGAAATGACAGCCGTGACACCTTTGCAAAGGTTACAGAAAAATGATGGGTAATTCTATGTGAGGAAAGTCAGTATGTTATCATTATTAAAACATTTTGAGTGTCTTCTGAGAAGTGATTCTTTTTCACTTTTTTTCTCACCCTTTTATTTTTTTTGCAACCGAAAGTGACCTCTAAAAGAATATTCATTCTTCAATTTTATCGACAATTGTGCAAACTAAATAGGAATAAAATATGTGCTTGCCTCTTTTCGCAAAGGAAGTACAAATTAGCTAAATAGAGGAAAAAAATTGGTTACGTGAAACTCATCACGTAGCTATTTACTACCTTCTAAATATTCGACGTGAATATCAATTTTAAAAAAAATTCCATTTAAAAATGCGTAATGATTGGGAAGGTGAGAGCAATCAACCACTGTATCACTTATCACTATAGCACTGAGGGAGAGCCAGAATTGAGGAGAGGGAAGATCGATGAAAAATTTTTTTTTTAACGAGCTCTGAATCACGACAGGAGGTGAGCGTTTACAAAATGCGCCATAATCTATAAAAAACTATCCTCGATTCAAATTTCAGATTAACATTCTTGATTCCAAGTTTTATTCAACCTCTCTTGCATCATGGGAAAACTATAATGATTAGCTGTCTACATCTCACCTATGATTTTATTTGATATTAGGTGATCTATTTTCGTAGAGATCTTTTGGAAAGTTTTTTATGTTTTAATTGTGACTGATCATTTTAAATTTTTTTTGTCAAAACTTTATTCTATAGAATAATTCTATTCTTTGAAATAACTGGACTATTCATGTCATCTTGGATAAAAGAGAGATGTGTTTTATTGCCAAGAAAATCGAATTGAGAGCCTTACCATTTCTAAAGTTAGCACTAACTTAGCGCTGCTCATAGATCGCCAGGTAAAAACAACAAACAATACGACTTTTGAAGCAGTTTCATTCTCCGATGTTACTTTTATTATCCATGACATCTACATAATTTGTTTTATGATGATTATTTCCTTTTTTGTTATATGCGTCTGGACCGGGTTGACAGTTACTTTAGGGAGGAGTGGGCCTGGGGCGACGACTTGGCCTTGGATGACTGGGCCTGGGACGACAACTGGGTCTAGGGCGACTTGTTGGTTTAAGCTTATTGCACACTTTAAATGTAACGTGGAGGCCAATCCGGTCTTCTCTTATTTATTGAAAATTGCGCCAACATTCAGCATATATCTCTATTTAGTGGACACTGATCTGGAATCAGGACTGTTAATAAATATGGAATACTTCAACAAGTTTGTCATGATTTTTAATCTTTTATATCTTAGGAGCCGGTTTTGAGACCTAAATGGTGTATAATTTAACGTGAATCCTTTTAAATGACCCGTTCCGTCTTGGCAGGCTTCTCCATTTAGGACGTTTCACGATAATGTCCAACCAGTACCATCGCCACGTGTGACATTTTATGAAAACCACGGCAAAGTTCGATAAAATTGGGCACATATCGTGGATAAGTGAAAAAGCTGAGGGAATATGGCATGTGAAAATTATTTGAGTCTTCGTGTCATATGTAGAAATCTTTGGTCATCAGTGCATGCGTTTTAAGTAATCTGCCGAAGGTGGGCTGAGAAACCGAAAGTCGATAGACTATATATCATTCGAGGTATTCAGCCAAAAAATAAGCGAGGCCCCGTTGGAGCTGGATGGTGGGGGCTGGGGAGGCGGGGAGGCAAGACTGCAAAGGGGATGGGGGGACGAAGATGACGAGAGAGTCGTAACTGTCATAACTGGGAGATCTGACATTGTTTTGAAGCCTCCACTCCGTAATTCTGCCATTTGAGCACTTGTATCAGCTCATGAGAGTATGGAATATGGCTCTTAGCTAATTCCTCTTCTCCACCCCCTCAGATGTTGAAAATAAAGTTTTGCACGCGTTTGAACCTTTCTACTTTCTTACATTTCTGGTTTCTTCCACTGTCTTGATCTCTTGGTCAGGATAATTTTACCCGGATTGGTATGTTTTCTACTCGTTTGAGGGCTTTTAAACACATTTTTGTAAACATAAGTTCACTTCAGGCCTTCCGTTGATGAGTCCCAGTGTAGAAAGTAAAGGTAACTGGATTGCTAGATTAATAGGTTTGGTTTGAATTTATACAAGTAACTACCTCACAAGCTCAGACAGCTTTTAAATCAGCTTTATTCCTCCAAATTATTCATCTATCCATGACATCTACATCACATTCTTTCTTTACCATAATTGGCGCCAAGAGTGACGAGTTTCAAGAGAAACAAGAGGATTGATCACCATGGAGCAATGGGAAGGTACCTGGGTCCTCCAGGGAGATTATTTACCCCCAGACATATTTTAACTGCAGCCATGCATAATAACTTCTTGGTGCAGTCCATACCAGGTTTGCCCATGCATTTCTTACCAATATCGAGACACTTTTTCTGAAAATAAATAAAATAATATTACAAGAACACACCTTATTATTCGTTGTTCTTTTCTAAAAAATTTAACTTTACTTAGGCAAAGATACTTTATTTGAAAAATGTCTACTTCCTTCTACTACGAGGATTTATGATTTCTAGAATTTATTTATATTTCTGAGGAAGTTGTGCTTCTTCTATCTCTATAAGTTCTATAAAAAGCTCCCATCTGGAACAATAATTGTTCACCAGAGAAGCCTATCGGATAGCTCCACAACCTCTTGCTTTATATTCCCATGGTTGAAACAAAAGTCTTACATTTAATTCAAAACCTAGCATGTATTCCCTCATTCAGTCATTTAGTCATACAATCATTCAATCATTCAGATTTCTAATTATCTATTTATTCGTATGTTCATTTCACATACGTACCTGTCTCGGAGTTGGCGTGGGGCGTGGATAAGGTAGCTTTGACTCCATGCAGGTTTTATATTTCTCGTAACAAGCCAATCTTTTACAAGAGTCATCCTTGGCGACCGCCAGACAAATTCCCCGTGAAAGTTTACATAACTTCTGTTGATGATAAAATAAGCTTTCATAACTTTCATAACCCCTTTAAGGGATTTTAGAGGTGTTTTACTCGCGTGTCATTAGGTTTATCACTTCAAATGCAGAGGTCAGAATACACTCAAGAAGCTCGTTGTTACGTCACCTACTAAGTTAAGCCTCAACCTGATGTGAATCATTTTATCCCCTAAAAAAGTCTTTCTGATATAAAAGAACGATGATATCAGTGGGGAGGCTTATAATTGCTTTTGCCGATGGTATAGTTTTCTTCTGATACAGCAATACTTAAAACACAAAGTAGAAAAATTGGGCTTACTTCAGCAGGAAAGATCGTCGGTGGTATAAGTTTCGGATCGTTTTCTTCATCAGCCGACTCTCTCAACAAATCTTCTCTTTCTTTATCTGAAAACTCATCGAGAGCTTTATGCTCAAAAGGCGATTTTGCCAATGTGACTGAAGCTCCGAAAAACAGGACCAGTAGAAGAGATTTCATCTTGAATACGCTGCTATGTTGTCTGCAGGGCAATGGCATGAACTAACTGGAACACCTATCACTTTTATACACAATCGTGTCTTGTTCTGCATTACAATGGACATTGTAGATGACGAAGAAGTCTTTGACCAAGCGTTGTTAGCGTAAATATCCCGCCCGCGGTGCAAAAGGCAAACAGTTTACTTTATGTCATCTAGTATTTTTAGATCTCATAATACGGTATAACACATTATCCTGTCATCATGATTTCATAGGTGGCGTGTTTAAGGTGGCCTACTAACCCAAGTCAGGTTTTGTTATAATTATTACTAAAGATGACATACATAAATCTCGTCTGAGAAGTAGATATCATGAAGTAAAGATTCCGTGTGGCAAGGATTCTAAAGCGTAAGATACGAAATAGCTATGATATCAGCTTTGTTTAACAAGTAAATCCCACATTTAAAATAAACAGAATAGTTAACTCAGTTATGTAAACTTTCTGTTTTTTATTCACGAACTCATAATATGCTTAGAGATAAACGAAATTCTTGTTGAAATAGCTGATAAAAAGACAAATCAATCCAAAATTTGGCACGTTGGAGGAATCATAGTGTTTTTTCTCTACCTTTTATTATTTGAACTTCATGAACGACTGTTACAACAGTATTATGAATGCATCTAGTGTTTTTAGATATCGTAATACGGTATAACACTATCCTGTGATGAATTTCACAGGTGGCCTGTTTGAGGTAGCCTGCTAACTAGTTATGGCTCTGTATAGTTATTTCTAAAAGATGATACAAATCTCGTCTGAAAAGGAGATATCACGAAGTAAAGATTCCGTGTGGTAAGGATTCTACAGCGTAAGATACGAAATAGTTAAGATATCAGCTTTGTTTAACAAGTAAGTTCCATATAAAAATCAACAAAAAAGTTAACTCAGTTATGTAAACTTTCTGTTTCTTCTTCACGAACTCATTATATGCTTAGAGATAAACGACAGTGTTGTTTAAATAGCTGATAAAAAGTGAAATCAATCCAAAATTTGGTACGTAGGAGGAATCATATTGTTTTTTTATCTACCTTTTTCTATTTGAACTTCATGAACGACTGTTAAAACAGTAAAAACACCACGTCAAATTCGAAATCATAATAATGGGAAAACCTGAAGAAAGTTGAAATTAAAGTAACAGAAAACTGCATGTTCCTGTTGATATAATTACTGACCTTACACTAGCAAGCATACTTTTATTTTGTGGCTCTTTGGATTGTTAACAAGATAGATTGTAGACTGAGTGAATGACGAAAAATAAAGAAAGAAATGAATAAGATGTTATAAGTTAAGAGAACGAAGGGAAAAAAGTAGAGAGCTAAAAACTCATTTTCTTCTTTAGCACGATATAAAAGTTCTGTTAACAAAAACTGCATGAGAAGGGAGGGTTGGAGGCAATATGCGCGCTAGATATGGATCCAAAACAAAAGAAAAACCAAGCTGATTTTGAAAGTTTAAGGAAACTGCATCCATCTGTTTAGCTCAAACTAGAAAGATTTTGTGACCTGGTTGAAAGGTATCATGGAGAGAATATAAATTGGTATTGTAAGACTTCCCACAAATTTGGAAGTAGGAAGAGGTAATTATGCACTCCGCGTCGGGAAACGAACGGTTGATATTCCAGGATCGCTAATTAATGAGGTTAAGGACAAAGTAGGAAAGAGTAACTTCATCGAACGTAACCGGTTATTTTCTGATTGCTGCATGTTATTCTTTGTCCGAGAGATATGTCTCTCTTTGCGTGCAATCTGCGCTCTTTCAGTGATAATATTTGGAATAAATTATATAAAATGACAGCCGTGACACCCCGGCAAAGTTACAGAAAAGTGATAGGTAATTTTATGTGTTGAAAGTCATTATGTTATCATTATAATAACTGAAATTTTGAGTGTCTTCCGAAAGTGATTCTTTTTCACTTTTTTTTTCTCTCTCTCTTTTTATTTTTCTGAAAGTGACCTCTAAAAGTATATCCATTTTTCAATTTCATCGACAATTGTGTAAACTAAATAGGAATAAAATATGTGCTTGCCTCTTTCCGCAATGGAAATGCAAATTAACTTAATGGAGAAAAAATTGGTAACGTGAAACTCATCACGTAGCCAATTACTACCTTCCGAATATTCGATGTGAATATCAATAAAAAAATTTATATTGAAAAAATGTGTATCGGTTGGGAAGGTGAGAGTAATTAATCACTGTAACACTTATCACTGTAACACTTATAACTGTAACACTTATCACTGTAACACTTATCACTGTATCACTTATCACTGTATCACTGTAACACTTATCACTGTAACACTTATCACTGTAACACTTATCACTGTAACACTTATCACTGTAACACTGAGAGAGAGCCAGAATTGAGGAGAGGGAAGATCGATGAAAGTTTTTTTTTTTAACGAGCTCTGAATCACGACAGGAGGTGAACGTTTACAAAAATGTACTGCAATCTACAGAAAACTATCCGCGATTTAAATTTCACGCTTAATAGCCTTGATTCCAAGTTCCATTCAACCTCTCTTGCATCATAGGAAAATTACAATAACCAGCTGTTCACTTGTCACCTATGATTTTATTTGATATTAGGTGATGTATATTCGTCGGGATCTTGTGGAAAGTCTGATATTTTAATTGTGACCGAAAATTTTTTTGTTTTTTGCCAAAACTTTATTCTATAGATCTATTCTTAGAAATTACTGGAGTATTCATGTAATCTTTGATAAAAGAAAGATGTGTTTTATTGCTAAGAAAAACAACTTGGGAGCCATAGCTTTTCTAAATTTAGCAGTAGCTTAGCGCTACACTTAGATTGACGGGTACAAACAACAAACAATATGACTTTTGAATCAACTTTAATCCCAGAAATAACTTTTATCATCCATGACATCTATATATTTTTGTTTTATGATTATTATTTTTTTTCGTTATATGTGTCTGGAGACTTGACATGATTTAATCAAACTTCCTCTTCTTGACCGGGTTGACAGTTATTTCAGGGAGGAGTGGTCCTCGGACGACGACTTGGCTTTGGGCGACTGGGCCTGGGACGACGACTGGGCCTGGGACGATAACTGGGCCTGGGACGATGACTGGGCCTTGGACGACTGGGCCTGGGGCGACCTGTTGGCCGACGCTTAATGCACTCTTTAAATAACAATTTGCATTTTTCCTTGTTCGCGCCAGGTTTCTCCAAGCACTGACGTAACCTGTAAAGGCAATATTTCTGTAAAAAGAATGAAAATGCCGTATTAGAAACGACAAAGTATTTTTTGTCGTTGATATGCTGATGTATTAGAGACAAAAAAAAATCCTCAGTTGGTTTAAAATCTATAAAATCTTGTCCTCCTGGCGTGTAGGATAAAATAGTCAACCTGTTAACTTTGATTATTGTAAGTATTTTGAATGTTTTTAAATCGGGGAAAGGTATTCATCACCACTTCGTTTCACTTAGCCTGTACTTTCCTCCATTGAGAGGCAGGTTTCATTTACCCTGGTTTAGTGTTGTACATCCCTCAAAAGTAGACAAAACTGTTAATTTTCGTCTTCAGAGTCTTGAGGATGGTTGATAAGAACCTTTAGAGTAAATTTGATTAAGAGGTCATGTTATATCTTTCTAAACTATTTCAATATCAATCGCCGGGAAATTACGCTTAGTTTCAATAAAAAATGAGTTTTTGACTAGCAGCACCTAGTTTGAGTTTTCACCAACATCTAGTTTGAATTTCACTCGTAGAAATTAGAAACTCGTCAATGACCGGTTACTTCAGTGCGTGTCAAGTTGACTTTATTAGAGAAATGACTAAAACTGAGCTTTACCTTGGGCGGGCGTGAGGGTGAAGGAGGACCACTAGGTTGCTCCGAAAAGAAGGGATCATTTTCCACCTCTTTTAACTCTCCGGTGATTTCTTCTCCTTCTTCATCTGAAAGCTCAGCGAGAGCTGGATTCTCAAAAGGCAATTCTGCTAAGGCAACGGAAGCTCCGAAAAACAGAACCAGCAGAAGAGTATTCATCTCGATAACGATGCTGTTCTGTTTGTGAGGCAATGTCATGAACTCGGAGACTGACTACTTTTGTAGGCCAGCACAACCTGTTTCTGCATGACTATCAACAAAGAGTAGAACAAAGCTACCTTTGTTCAAGTTCTGTTTGTACAAATCTTACGCGCAAAAGGTAAACAGTTTACTTAACGAAAGATCACAGACATGACAGAAAGTTTAATTCCATTGTAATCCTTTCTTAAATATTTCATACCGAACGTAGTAAATTTCTGTCCCACGGATAAAACCTTAAAAGAGGGCTGTAAAAGTGACAAAGTGCTTGTCGAAAAGACGATGGTACCTTCGGTTTGTTACAAAACGAGTGGTCTTTTGAAAAAGAAGTCTATGCAATAGATTACGGTCGCTATGAGATGTTAGCGATATTACGACTGTTTACATGCAAGAAACACATGGTATCATTAAAAGAACGGTTGACCGAGCTGTGTAAACATTATATGTTTATCTTACGAACTTCTTCTGTCAGAGCGTTTATTGTATAAATCTCGCGCGTAAAAAGCAAACAGTTTAAACAGTGTAAGGTCAGAAAAAAAGACAAATCCAGATGTGATTCTTTTAAGAATTGTTATGAAAATCTCGCTGAGTAAATTGATACTGAAATGAAACCAACGGTTGGCACGTTTAAGCATCGCGCATCGATTCTGACCTCGGTCAGCCTTTCTACTGATTAAGGCCTAAAGAGCCAGGAGGAATGAGGGTAGAGAGCAGGTGTGGGGAAAAGGGGCCAAAAAAATTTCGAATAAAACAGTTTTCACCCTTCTTTTCTTTGATTCAGAAATTACTTAGAAAAGATCACTGAGGTAAACTTTGTTTGGTATGTACCGAGCGCTTGGTTGACATTATCAGAACGTTTGACTTAGTTAAATTGACTTTCTATGTTAACCTCACGAACTCTTTATCTGCTCAAATACAGACGACATACTTGTTTTCATTGTTTAATAAATAGATAGCTGACTGTGGGGAAACTGCACTAATCTTCCTGTTTAAACTCCTCCGCAAGCGAATGAGAAAATTATGTCGTGGTTGAAAAAGTATCCACCGATGTAAGATTTCTCACTAATTTGAAATTGGGAAGAGGTGATTATGCACTATGCACATCGGTAACTGGCCCACAACGGGTAGTACTAAACTATGGATCAGCAGACTGCGGAATCTCCGGAACCTCCGGAACCAGCGGAACCTGTGGAACCATTCGTGTTTTTGTAAAAAAAAAAAAAAAATAATGATAATAAGGAAATAAAATAGAAGCTGAAAATACCTCAACACTGTTCGAAATTTCGTTTTCGTTTATGAAGAAGATGATGTTAAAAGAGAAATATGTTTTTTTTAATCTACGGTGACAATGCATTACCGGCGATGATGTTACTTAACGCTCGTGTTCCTCATTCTAGCTACTTCATGTACAATGAAACAGAATCAAAGGCCGCCAATTCCAGTTTGAAGCTTTGCTGAGAGCCTTCGGATGAGGCGTTACTCGGATATCGCGGTACCCAAATCGTTAGGGCTTTCAAATCATGGTACAATTATCAACACTCGGGTTAGGGGACTGCTGGTTGCTGCATATGACATTACATACCCTGATACGGTGAATGTCGCCGGGATTAAAGTTGGACCTCAAGGAAATGAAAACATATTTTTCTTTAAAGTAATCTTCTTTATACCCGAAAACGAACTTTCCAACAGTGTTCAGGCCTTTTTAGTTTTTATTTCATTACTATTATTTCACAAAAAATGAAGGATTGCAGGTTGCAGAGGTTCCGCGGTGTGGTGATCTACAGTTACACCGAGCTTAGGATCGCGAAATAATTAGATTAAAGATAATTTGTGGTAGAGGAATTTAACAAATACCCCTAAGAAATGAGTAAACGAATAACTTCGCGCGGATTCAGCCACACTGTTTGTTAAACGTTGGTCTTAGCAAGATTTCAAAGCGAAGACGATCAAATTAGTCTGGTACTTTGGTAGGCACTCTTCCTTTTATCTCTCTTAAGGGCCAGGGGGATGTGATGATCAATATGCCTTTCGCAATACATAGAACAGAAGTGTGTTTGGGCATTCTGATGAAGCGTAAGGCATCAGTTTTTGACATATTTTGGCTCGAGTAACGCGGTTCATTGTGCTATTCGTAGTTTCTCAATTCGCGTTTGACAAGAAAGACGGGGCCTGGGGCGACGACTTGGCCTTGGACCACTGGGCCTGGGACGACCTGTGTACTTTTTCTGCAAACAGAACGCCGAAATATTTTGTGTCGTTAATATACTGATGTATTAGAGACAAATCTCGGCTCCCGGCTGGGGATTATTCTGAAGAATTTGTTTCATTAATGTTCAGAAGAGCACATGATCATATGGCGAGAGAGTCATTGCAGTTATATTTCTGCTTTAACAAGATCAGCCGGGTAGAAATGAAGCCGTGGTGAGTCTGCAAAGAAGAGAGCTTTTTCCTTCTTGAAAAAATTTAACTTGCTTGTTTCATAACGTAATTTGAAGGTTTCTAAATCAGGGAAACTTTTTCGCTTCTACTTCGTTTCACGTGGCCTGTATGTTCCTACAGCAAAAGGCAGGTTTTGATTACCCTGTTTTTGTTGTTATTGTGCATCTCGAGACTAAACAGTACTCTGTTAATTTTTGACAACAGAGTTTTGTGGACGGGTGGTAACAAGCCTAAATGCAAACTTGGTTATGGAGAAATGTTCATTTTTTTTTAACTATTTTCAAGATCAAATTTTGATTATAAACGATCAAAAGAATAGTTTGACTAGAACCAGCGTACAGGTTGAGTTTCTAACGTACTCATTAACAATCTTAATGACCGATTGCTTCTGTGTGTCAGTGTTCGTTTATCGGTGAAATGCCTAAATTAACAAAAAAACAACAAACTGAACTTTACCTCGGGTGGAGGTGAGGGTGAAGGGGGACCACTAGGTGGTTCTAAAAAGAAGGGATCATTTTCCACCTCTTCCAATTCTTCAGTGATTTCTTCTCTATCTTCATCCGAGAGTTCATCGAGAGCTGGATTCTCAAAAGGCAACTCTGCCAAAGCAACCGAAGCTCCGAAAAACAGGACTAGTAGAAGAGTATTCTTTCGATAACAGACCTTTTTTTGTTTATGAGGCAATATGATGACATCGAAAACTGCTTACTTTTAAAGGCCAGCATGGCCTGTTCCTACATGACAATCGACAAAGTGGAGAACTAAACTCTCTGTTTGTACAAATCTCACGCGCAAAAGGCAGACAGTTTGCACAACCGTATCAAGAAATGGGCCATTGTTGTGGGTTAAATTCGACTTCACAAGTTCAAACAAAAGCCTTTTGTTGTTTGTTGCCCTGGGAAAATTGTGCCAAGACTCGACGAAGATGAATTTCAAATCGTCGCAAAATTGTCGGCGTGTCAAATTAGCGGCACTTGGGGAGAGGGGTTGGGAAAGTTGCTCATAAGGGTGCTGTTCACACAGGGGTACCCAAGGGAGAAAATGCCCTTCACTATACTTGGTCTCAGTATATTTTTTTCATCAGCGAACCAGTTGATTATAAATTTATTAACACGATAAGGATGCTTTGTTGTTAACAACATTCACGAACTATACTCGGCAAGAGGACGAGAGGAAAAAAAGCAACAATTCACTATTGTTATTAACCCCAAACAAGATACCTGGAAATGCTGAATTCTTTATACTGTACTTTGGATTAGTTGATTATAGTGCGCAGCACAACGCCGCAAAACGATGAAGCTTTTATCGATGGTTCACTTGGTCGAGAGTTTTGTTTCTCTTATCAAAGAAGCGCTAGTCTTAATACTATCACGCTTTCACTCTCGTAACGTAAAGAAAAGAGAAGTAAGAAGTAATCGTCGAAAAAAGGATGGTTTTTATAATTATCCGTATAACTTCCGAAATGTAAGCGATAATAAGATTGTTTCTCACGTAGGAAGCATATGGTATCATTATCAGATCGGTTGACTATGTAAACTTTCTATCATGGTTTTCTCACGAACGTCTTCGTCCAATCTTTCATTGTACACGCCTGCACGTTAAAAGGCAAACAGTTTGTTATGGTAGAAAACAAAAATACTTCAACAAATTCAGATGCGGTCTTTGCAAGACTTTTGACTTTAAAGGGTAATACGTAAAACACAAACGAATTCGAACCCAACGGCTTGCCTGATTTAGAATTGTGTTGCGGCGTATACCAGGGTCAATTTTCCCAACGATTAGAGTCACAGAGCTGAGAGGGTATTAAAGAGAGGAGGTGTAAATTACGGCAAAAATTACTTAAAAAGGGGTTTTCACCCACTCTATCGTGTTTCAGAATAATTTAGGAGTTTGGCACGTACGCCGAACGCATGGTTAACATAAAAAGATTATGAGAACTTTGCATGTTAACCCTTGACGAACGTTCATTAAAACGGTACAGAGAGGGACTTAATTCTTTTACCCCTTTTGGGTTCGTCATATACACCTGTTAAAATCGTGAGAGTGTGCGCGCCAGATTTTATTCTGTAGAAAAGGGAACCCACAGGACGTCTAAGGTATGGAAAACTGCAATATTGTTATTTAAACTGAGCAAAATATTGTTCCGGTTTGAATTCTTAACTGAGTAGATGGTAGACCAGGGTCCGTAGGTAGAAGTAGAAGAAGGGTTTTCAATTAGGGGTCAGTTGTAACGCACACATGATATTGTAAATGGCCTCAATATTAGGATATTGAGGAAGATGAAAACTGGCTCACAGGGTTGTCCAGGGTTGTCTTCAAGATCCAGAACTGCTCGTGAAAAGAAGCTAAAATGGTGAGATATGAAACTCTTGGAAACCATCTAGCAGCTGTTAATGAGCTGCTTTGTTATTGTTGGTTAAAATGTCTCCATTTCGGTTACCAACGGAGATGAAACCAAATTAAGATCCTCCTAAATGTAAAATTGCCCCTTCTCCCAGAGCATCCGCTTGATTATAGGCGTCCGATTATTTTACATATTTTCCTTGAATCAATCTCATTCATTTCCTATCCTTAATTATCCAAGTATACAGGGAAATTTATCAGTTCTCCCTCATGTCTCGAGGTCACAGACGAAGCATAGTATTGATATACCAAATACAGAGTGGCACGTTACGTTTTTTGAGGTTATGTTGGCCGGAATAATGTGTCAACTTATGTAATTGATTTGACTTGTCCTCTAAAATATATCCTGTTCACTCCATTAAAACATATTAATTATATTAATTAAATATATTAACGATAAAGTTAAGCTTATTTTCTACCGTCATAGGAAAAAAAACTCTGATGTATTTTATATTCGTTTATTAAAATGGTACGAAAATATACACATACACCTGTTAAAATAATATTTTATTCTATAAAAAAGGGAAATAAAATCCACGGGAGGTCTGAGGTATAGAAAATACATTATTCTTATTTACTAGGCAAACGATTGCTTCAGTTTGGATTCTTAACTGAGTAGATGGAAGACTAAGATCGTTAGGTAATGGTGCGGACTGAGAGAACGAAAATCGACCAAAGATATACTGCTGCTTCCAGAAAGGTTGTCGGAAAAAAGCATATATTACACACACCAACCCCGAATGGGTAGGTTTTCGGGACCTTAATGTTCGTTGACCACAGGATTTAAGGAAAATCTAAGAAAAACGTCTTTTGAGTCTGTTGAAGTTACGTTAGCCAGAACAACGTGTAATTTATCCTACTTCCTATATTAGTTTGCCTGAGGGACCAATCATCCGCTAGGGGAATGGGGTGGAGTTGGAGGATTTTGGGGATCACATGGTTTTTTAGGGGGAACGGAGGGGGGGGGGGGGAAACAGCCATCCTTAACAGAGTATAAAGAGGAACTTTTGAAAAATCTGCTTCTAATGAGGGGGATCAATACCTGTAATACGGGGCTAAAGAAAATTTTCAGATACCTCCTATGGGCATTGTGTCAGATAGGAAACGAAAATTCGAAAAATTATCGCAACTTAACGTAGCACGTAAAAGGGCGAGGATATTCTTGTCTTGACGCACCTTGCTACCAATAAGAGCCCGTCTAATATCTAGCGCGTTCACTAAGGTTTTGTCAAAGAAAATTAAAGAAAAGAATCACTCCCCAGATATTGACTCCGTAATATTGAACTGTAAATTAACATTTTGTCTTAGCCAATCGGGTGAAGTGACAGGCGCCAGCGTGATGAGTTGAGATCAAAATTAACGGTTTTTGGTTGTATTTCTAGTTTTTCCAGTCGGTTTTTGATAAAAAACCATAAGGGGCAGCACTTTAATAACACGATAAGTTTAATTTTTCCTTCATCCTGGGATTTTACTCGTATTTTGTTGCCACGACTTTCAGCTCAACCCTTTAACTCTTAAGATCTGACTGTCAATTCTCTTTTTTAGCTGCTACACATTTCCTTGTAAATAAGTCACGAAACTTGATTTTAGATCAAGGCTTCTAACTTCTACCTGATAGGTCTGAGTACTCTCATTACATATTGGCTGGATAATGTGTGGATGTCATTGAGAGAAGTTACGTGTTAATCAACTCTGGAAGTTAAAGGGTTTAGAACCTCAGCTTTTTAAAACTCAGTGCTAGTTAGGCACCCCACTTAAATTGATATAAACAACAACCACACAAGTTAAGGTGTCTTTTCAATCAGCTTTATCCCTCAAAATTTTTATTCATCTACCATGACAGCTATTTGATTTAATTTGTTATTAATTCTGATAAATCCGTCTTGAGATACAACATGTTTGAAAACAAATTTCGTGATCAGGTTCACTGCACCTCAGGGTGGAGTAGGTTTGGGTTTGCACTTTTCCAGAATCTTCTTGCATCGTTTGAGAGCAACAGCACACTTTATCAGAGACACAGAGAAAACATACTTGTTATAGAGTCATTTTAACAATGAAAATAGTGATAATTATTTCCCTCGTGTTTCGTGTTTGATCTCCTTACTGTTTCCCCCAAGATAAGACTGAAATCTGTTGATTTTTGGGATCAATATCTGGGCAACTGGCCACCTACCCCTCCCCTAACTCAACAACAGTCAATTGATAACAAGTTAGGGTTAATGTTGGTTAGGGGAGGGGTAGGTGGGCAGTTTCCCAGATACTGATATTGATCCAATTTTTGTATACCTACTTAACTTGGCTGATACTTAATATCGCGTTTTTCGTGATAGTAAAAAAATCGCGAAATGAAAGGCTTGCGAATATTCATATTTTCATATTTGCCTGTTGAAATTGCGAAAAATAAAACCCTGCGAAAAACTGTTGGGCCAACATTGTGAAATTAAGTACGCCTTGTAATCCATACTTTTCTAAATTAATCTAAAAAAAGAAAAGTGAGCTAGGTTTGTTGTTGTTGTTCCTGTTTTTTTCAAATTGTAAACAATATCATGCAAAACAACGGTAGTACATTTTTGATAAAATGGAAAGCAACTGAAATTCCACAGCACAAACAATAACAATTTATTGGTCAAGATTTTTTTCTGAGCGTTGTGCTTTATCAAGTTTTTTTCTTTGTTAAATATTTATTACTAAAAGAAGGAAAGAAAAACTGAGTTCAGTTTACCAGCTTGGGTGGACCACTCGGTATGTGATGCGGATCATTTTCATCTGAGAATTCATCGCGTGTCAGCTCGGGAAGGGTCGGCTTGGGACGGCACTTTTCAAAAACTTTCCTGCATTTTTTGAGTGCAACAACACACTTTACCTGAACAAAAGCAAACTTGCCTAAATGACCAATTATTTAAATTTGTCGTTTTTTTCTGTGATGTTTTAAAGTCATAGGCTACTGTGATAATATGATAATAAAGGTAATAATTATAATAATGATAGCAACAGCATAAAACTAACGATTTATTGGTCAAGATTTTCTTCTGAGTGTAGTGTTTTATCAAGTTTTTTCTTGGTTGAAAATTTAATACTAAAAGAAGAAAAGACAAACTGAGTTCAGTTTACCGGCCTGGGTGGACCACTCGGTATGTGATGCGGATCATTTTCATCTGAGAATTCATCGCGTGCCAGCTCGGGAAGGGTCGGCTTGGGACGGCACTTTTCAAACATTTTCTTGCATACTTTGAGTGCAACAACACACTTTACCTGAACAAAAGCAAACTTGCCTAAATGACCAATCGTTTAAATTTGTCGTTTTTTTCTGTGATGTTTTAAAGTCATAGGCTACTGTAATAATATGATAATAAAGGTAATTATTATAATAATGATAGCAACATCATAAAACTAACGATTTATTGGTCAAGATTTTCTTCAGAGTGTAGTGTTTTGTCAAGTTTTTTGTTTGTTAAAAATTAAATACTAAAAGAAGAAAAGAAAAACTGAGTTCAGTTTACCGGCTTGGGTGGACCACTCGGTATGTAATGCGGATCATTTTCATCTGAGAATTCATCGCGTGCCAGCTCGGGAAGGGTCGGCTTGGGACGGCACTTTTCAAAAATTGCCTTGCATTTTTTGAGTGCTATAAGACACATTATCTGAAAAAAAGCAAACTTGCTAAAATGACCAATCGTTTTAGTTTGTTGTTTTTTCAGTGTTGTTTTAAAGCCAAAGGTTTGTGTAATAATAAAGTAACAATTATTATAATAATGAGAGCAACATCATAAAACTAAAATCGAAGAACTTAGAAAATCGTTAAAAATGCTGACATAATTATTGACTGAAGATACTCCAAACCGCCACTTGTAAGCTAACTTGAAAAGCTTCACGTGATGTTTTGAAACTGTGCACGTTCTGCTCAGCCCTTATTAGTCATTGGTGGAAATTATCAAGTCCAGACAGTGGAAGGTTTAATAAAGAGACAGTCCTACCAGCTTGTCTTTGATTGTCTGTACCCCTTTTAAAGGATATTTTACAAAAATTGAACACAACATGAACATTAGAAACAGTGGGTGCTCACTAAAGCTTCCCAAAGCCAAATTAGAATTCGGAAGGAGAAGTTTTGCCTTTCAAGAGACTCTAATTTAAAATACTTTACCTCGGCATTTAATAAATTTTTAATTTTTAAGAATAAGTTAAAAGAGTTTTTCAATCGAATATAATTCACAACTCTTTTCAATCTTATAAGTCAATAATTTTTACAGATTATATTTTTTAATCTTAGATTTCTTAGTTATTTTAGTTTCAGGACCCTTTTGATAACAATTCTTTTTAATAGAACTGATAGGTTATCCTTCATAAATGTTCGCGTTATTATTATTATAATTGGTTGATAAAGCATCTAAAAGGGTTGCCACTGCCAGCACCAGTAAACGCTCTGTCTTCGTAGCCTTTCTCGTAATTCGTAACCTTGGCGCAAGTAGACATTGATGACCGAAGCGTAAATTGTTACTCGTTGTGATATCTATGTTAACACTTTAACTGAAGTGACACAACCTGAGCCTAAATTAGAGCTCTTTTATTTCCCCCGAGTTTTAATTTTTTATCTCCTTACTGTTTCCCGCGAGATCAGACCGAACTCAAATTTGTGCACAAAGTCCTGGTGACTAACAACCCAAAGAAAAACTTGATTAATTAGAAAACTTCATACTTTTTAAAATTGATCTCAATAATTGTATGAACTACGTTTGCTCCTGTGTTGCAAATGGCTAAATGTGAAAGTATGATAATACTGATTGACAAACAAAGCGAAACCAGGAATGCATCTATATATTAGCCTAGAATTACTTCTAGGTGCAGCACCTTTAAACCACAAACTGAATTTACCTTCTTGGGGAAAGGGTTGTGAGGGTCATTTTCCACATCTGCAAATTCCCCAATGATTTCTTCACTCCCCTCGTCTGAGAGTTCATCTAGAGCTGAGAGCCCAAAAGGAGATTCTGCCAAAGCGACTGAAGCTCCGAAAAACAGGACCAGCAGAAAAGTATTCATCTTGATCACAGTGCTTTGCTGTTTGCAAGGCTATGGCATGAACTCGAACATTGGCTACTTTTATAGCTCAGCACGGCCTGTTACGCAATGCAATCGACAAAGTGGAGAACAAATCTTTCTTTGTTCCAAGTACTGTTTGTACAAGTCTGTCGCGCAAAAGGCAAACAGTTTACTTAGTGGTAGGACTGAAAGTTTATCCAGTTGTAATCCTTTCTGAAATCAGGTAATTTGTATCACAAAGGAGAGAAATAAAGTTGACATGAAATTACCAATTGGCCTGTTTATTGGCATATCGCTCTGGAGCTGTGCATGGTCAGCGTTTTTACGAATCCTTAAACAAGAGGCAGTAGATAAACAAAGTTTTTGTTAAAAAAAAAAAAAAAAAAAAAAAAACGGCGATGTCTTCTACAGTTATCATTTTCACTCTGAAAAAAACAACATGTCAATCCCTAGACCCACGAAAAAGATTGCTGTAATTGTTTGACACTAGCGCTGTTTTGCAAGCAAGGAACACACGGTGAACATCAACAGAACGGTCGACCTATATGTGTCTGCAGTCCACGTGTATCGTACGAACTGTTTTTCATATCGTTTTGTTTAAAATAAACAGCAGTGAAATATTTTTTCCAAGCGGAAAAAAAAGCTCTGTGCAAAAATGCAAAACAGTTTAGAGGGAAGTCAGAAGCACGAAGGTTTTTTTTTCCGTGTTGTAATCTTTTATAGAGGATACTCCGAGTAAGATCCGATTGATTTAAACATGAAATTAAAAGGATTCCGTTCCTTAAAAGGTCTCAGAACTATTTTCAATGCTTGAGACGAGACTAAAAACATCTTTCTCTCTCAAAAAAGACACGGAACACACGGTATACCGGCATAAACAGAACTGTTTATACAGTTATGCAAAAGTTTCATGTTTATATAACGAATTATTTTTGTTGAAAAGGTTGACCACAATCTCGGTCCGAGTTCTTTTAAGAAAGGACAGAAAAAGTAAACATAAGCGAAAACGTAGAAAGAAATCATGAAACTTTCATTATTCTGTGGGAAAATAATTTTGGATGTGCCTTTGCGTTGTGTTATCGGCGGCATAATAAAAAAGATCGGAAAAGATTGAATTTTTGTACTTCGAAGACGCCTGTTTAAACATTTAGTGTTCGTCTTCTACCATCAGCAACAAAGGGAATACTTTGAACAGGTAACAGTTATAGAAAACGTTTGGTCCGTTATTTAAATACATACAGGCAAGCATATCATTATTTTAGTTATGTTTGTGTAAGAAGATCCAGAAAGCGTTTCTTTCAGTGTCAGTGACTGAGCATCTGCGCGCCTATACCTTCCCTACCCCTACCCTCCCCCTCCCTTACCCCTCCCCCTACCCTAACCCAACATTAACCCTAACTTGCTATCAGTTGTGGACTTGAAAATTTTTCTGTTCTTTTGTATACTTCAACATTAGATGCGTTAGTCTCATAAAAAGTAAATATTTGCCAACTTGCGTCATTGTTTTGTTGTGATTAACATCTTTTAATATACTTACTTGCCGTGTTTATTTTCTAATACAAATAAATGTTATCTATCAGCTTTAGCAGGTGTTAAAGAAGTACAAAAGGAGAACGTAGTGACACAAATGAATTATTGCCTGTGGAGCCTACCTTCTTGTGCAAAGAAAAAGTATCATTCTGTAGAAATGTGTTTATTCAAAGGGGCGGTCATTTATTGACAATATAAACATGATTATGTTCTAGCTCACTGCTGTGTTAAGCAAACGATACACTCGGGCGAAGGAAAAAAGTGTGATCACGATATTACAAAAAATTGCAACGTACCTTGGTAGTTTACAAAAAAAAAAATTGGGCTTATTGAAATCGCAAATATTAGGAATAGCTCTACTCAGTCATTTATTTCCACTTTTATTTCGTGATCGCTTTGAAAAAAGGAACTTAGATAGAAAACTTGGATTGTTTCCATAAGTGATACATTCGCTCTGTTAATGTTTCCCTGGTGAAGCGTAAAATAAATAATTATTGGTTTGCTCTCCAGAAAAAAAACCAAAAACGAAAAAAAAAGTAATGAAACAACCCATTTTTATTCACGCAGAGGTAGAACTTTTTTTATATTTTATTGGAGAGTTCATCTCATAGTCCTACAAGTTGAAAGCATAGTACAGGTTAATACTGTTTTTACATTTTTTTGTATGCAGAAAAACTTTACACTCGTTGCCGAAACAAGAGCATGGACACAGTTACATTCTTTAAAATTCATGCAGTTTAATAGTTATCATGGATCTAAAATTTCGTTTCAGCCTCCTTTTCAAAAAAATTTGCCCTAACCTCTATTGAACAAATTGATGTGTCAGGATTTGTAATCATCTGTGAATTTATGGAATGATATAAGGATCTGAGTAACCTCGTATATCTACCCCTTCCCTAACCAAACAAAAGTCAACTGATAATAATTTATAAGGGGGGTAAGTTTCAAAAGAAACTATGGTGCTGCGTCGGTGGGAGAGTATAACAGGGTAATTAAGTATTATCAACCGAGTTGATAACGTAAATTGGTCACCGTAAATAGTTTTAAAGCTGACGTTTCGTCAGAGCGATTGGACGAAGGGCTCACGCTCGAAACGTCAGCTTTCAAACTCTTTACGGTGGCCAGTTTACGTTATCAACTCAGTTTATAGTACTACATATATATATTACTCATAACTTTGAAAAAACTTAAACTGTTGAATAAATACTGATGCTTTTGAAAGTGCTACGGCCGGCTTATCATGAAAATTATGCCCTGAAAAATCAACCATCTACTCTATACCTCGCTATCTTAAATTTGATCTCTCTTAGATAATTTTTAGATATCTGATTTTTATCAAAACTTAATATTGTTTTTGAACATTCTTGTCTGCTCGGCTCTTTCGTAGCAAGTTTACCTGAAGCAAACCAAGGTCTAAACTTCAATATTTTAAGGCGTTGAGCTACAACTGTATTATTGGAACACAGTAAAGGTAAACAAATTATTTTAACATTTGCAGCATTCTGTTGTTTTCCTTAAACAGTCTGGATTTTGCATACGTATTTCAATGCATGAATTCTTTGTGAGTATTCCGTAGCGTTCATATTTTCTTTAATTTTTGGCGAATTAAAACAGCCGGATGTTTATGGTTCCTTTACATTAACACGAGGGCTATATACAGGTTTTCAGCCACGTAAGCTCACTGATGATCAATTGAAACAGAAAATGATTACTTTACTCCATGATTGCTCATGAAACCAGCTTTAGCTTGGCATTGAAATCAAATCACCTTACGTTTGATAGTTTAAAAACCCACGCCCACAAACAGGGGAGCTCTGACAAAGGAATAACTGGAACATGTATCTCTATTTTGCGTTTTCCACTCTTGTGTTTTGATCCATGCTTCCATTTGAGATCGTTTTCTGTTCCCAGCATTCTGACCTGTGTTTCGTCAGGTGTGAAAATAGGATCTCCAAGAACCAGTTTACCAGATGTTGGCCATTTTAGTGCAATAGCATAAACGTGGCTTCCTTTGGATGTGTACCTAATGAGTGGGAAATGAGCACGAATAATTTTAATCTTGAACATATCAGAATATCTAAGCGCTCTTTCTTGCTTCTTTTTCTGAACAGGGTCTGGGAACGATGGCCGATTCCGGTTTGACAAAGTCAGGAGAAGCTTGGGGCTGAATCCCATCGACTTACGGGGCGATTCTTTCTGTTAGACTTAGCAGATTTTTTCTTTTGCTGTCATCTGTTTCGTAATTATCTAAACATCCTCGGACAAAAGAAGCAATCAATCAGGCGAGAGGAAAATACAACAACAGTTTTGGGTCGACGCGTAAGAGTTTAGAGTAGAGTAGAGTATAGCTCCGAGATAGATACACGAAAAACAGAAATCGTGCTTACTGAAAAATTGTCTGTTACCTACATTTACGCTAAAGATTTCTTACCAAACATCGCCGTTAGCCGAATCATTTTGAGCTCGCCATGGTTTGGTTTTGTAAATAGCGTGGCCATTCACTTTTAACCAATCTCCCATCTGAGTGAGACGCTCCTGAAAAATCGGCGCAATCGTACCATCTGATGCTGGTCCAACATTCATGAGCAGGTTGCCGCCGCAGCTGCCAAGAAGAGATATATGACTTAGAAATGATCTCTTTTTTGGATCTCAATTTCCGGGAACGTAGAAGCTACTAAAAATTACCCTGCTCCCAATATTTGGCTTTCCTCAGTTGGTACTTGCAACCAACTCAGAGAGTCACGGGTTCGAATCCCGTGGAAGTAAGAATTTTTTGCAGTCTTGTTGTCTGAAGTTTCTTTTATTACTTCTCACCTGCAAAGATCACCTTTCTACTTGTATTTCTGTTTCTGTGTGTTTAAGTGGTTGAATAGTTGGCACTTTGTTCCATCTGTTTTGTCAAGTTATTTCCGTTTGGTAATGTTGATGACTTCCATCGTTTACTTTACTGTTGCTGTGAAGTATGTACGTCAACCACTTAGTCAAGATTGCACTTTAGACGCTAAAGATGTTTATCTAACGTTTCTGTCTAACGTTGTGTCCCATTTATGGGAGCATATATGTATACAGTGATCTACGTCTCAGCACATCGTCCCTTGTGCCATAGCCTTAAACGTGATTTTGACAAAATCAGTTTATTGAACTAATATATTTTGCAGGAAATAGTTTCTGACGGAGTGATTCGTATTTGTAAGAACCATCGTTCGTTAGCTTGTTTGGTTTTAAATGTTGTTAATTTAAACGATTAAACAGTTCAAGAGCGCAACCCCTTCTCACTATCACTAAGAAGAAAAATTTAACTTAACCCCTGAAGAGTTGTTAATTTGTAACAATGACACTTATGGAAGTCGGAAACGCCCAAAATAAACTCTGATATTGGTGCTAACTCAACCATAAAGTCCTTAGATTATGAAAGAATAAAATGCTATGGAAAAAGTCGAACTATTTGTCACAAAGGTAGAAGACGACTAAAAGCAGACGAAATAAGTATTTTTCTTCAGTCGGTTGAAAATGTTAAACACATGATATGCTCACTTGGGTCGAGCGGATGCAACACCTGAGTCCCCTCACTTACCTGACAGTAGAGACCAGCTGTTTTATCAACTCTTCAATACTGAGGTAGTCTTTCAGGTTTGCTTCTCGTCGAAATCCCCAGGAACGACGATCTATTGTCATAGCATTCTCCCACTTCATCTTCTGGAGTTTGCCTGTAATCAACACGAACCATTTCAACTTATTTCCACATCCTAACCATCTGGCTCCAGTAGTTGGAAGGGTGGATAACGCTATCCACTGGATAAATCTCTATCCTTTGAATAGTGCAGTTGACACTTATCGGCTGGATAGCGATTTATCCGCTGGATAGCGCTATCCAGCCTTTAAACAACTAGGGCCTGGTCTTCTTTATCTAAGAATAATTTTCAAAGATAGACACTTCCAAACTGAGTGCTATGTGCAGGACCCATTCTCTACATTTTATTCACTCTTGTTGTGGCCTTACATTGTTTTGTTCTCTAAGAGGTAGGTATTGTCAAATATATTTATCTCACTTAATTTTTGGGCCTAAATTTACGTTAGTTTTTCAGAAAGTAATTATATGCATTAATTGGTTAAGGTTGATCATAGACTCAACAATGCCAACATTTTGTGAGGGATACTTTCTCTTTCTGATTGTGTCATAAATATAGTGCGTATTAATATCTTTGTATTATCAGTTAAGGAATTTCAGTTTTTGCACTCACCAGGGTTATACCTGTCCTGCCCAGTGTAAACGCCTCCATGACGACATCGGCAACCACGCCCCCACCTGTCATTTACTACAACAGTGTCTTTAACTGGACTGAAAAAGAAATGTGGAAAGTGTTCTTATACATTTATATTAATCCACACCACAGCTTAAGTTTCTACTACATGGCTTCTTTGCATATTTTCATTCAGCGACTATGTTCCTTCTAGGAATTTCTTATGCAACCATTTCATTTTTCCCATCAGAAACTCAGACAACAATTGGTCGATCAACGATTCTTTTTTCCTTTTTCGATTTAGAGAGAGACAAATGACCTTTGAAAGGAGTCGAACCTAAACCCTTGGATTGCTAATTCTTGCTGTTAAGATTTATCGGTGGAAAGCTTTAAGGATTTTTGTAAGGATTTTTCGATCTATCATGTCAACTGTGATAGATTTTCATCAGCCTGTTGTTTTAAATGAGAGATGATCTATTTCAGTGACGGATAGAAACGAGTATATAGTCTGAAATTCAAATTCCAGAACTTCTAACCTCTGCTGATTCGTAGCTCGGATGCTTTACTAAATATGATAAGCTTTATGGGAGACTCGTGATATTTAACAACTAACCACCGAACTGGAGGTGGCTGGTGGTGAATATTTGTCCAGCTGCGAGGTGTTGAGGTGGCGAGGTAAATGTCTACCGCCAGCCACCTACACTGTGATGAATATTTGTTTAATTATATACTAAAACAGTGAGATATTATAGCACAAAAATATGATTTTATCTCATTTATTCATGCAACGATTACAAAATTTTTGGGCACAAATCCCGCGCGAGTTGCGCGGAGGTGAAAAGCAAAGGATATTCGGATTTTGAGTAGCCAATCAGAGCGCTCTTTCAATGCTTTCCACTGTTTTGGTATTTAATAATTAAGCCAATATATCATGTCCACCGTGGCTGCCACAGTTAAAAAACTCACCTTTCATTAAAGAGCCACGCTAGGAATTCCTCACTTCTCCAATATGATGCATTTGCTGCCGAATCTCCGTCAGACCATAGGTAATCAGGTTTGTAGGTATTGATAAGGTTGTACAACTGAGGCTTAACAACAGCCTGATGAAACACAGAGAACTTTCTAGCCAAGACATATCATCTACGCGAACCCGAGGCGAATAACTCTTGTTTAGTATACCATAAAAGAGCAGGTGAAGGAGAAAATTTTTCAAAACTCCATTATCTTAAAGGGTTTTGGCGGTTTTCGACTGAGAGGCTGGTCAGGCCACGTTCACATGTGCTGCGTTTCTTCGCAGGAAGCTAAACTCTCGCAGTTCGTCTCTTAAACAAGGATTTGGTTTTATCAACTGATCTGAATGGATAACCTTAAAGAGCTCCTACAACAAGGGATATACACTGATAGCTACCACAAACCTATCTGGAGAAACCTAGAGGAAAAGATTTGTGGCCATATACCTGCCTTAGACTAGTATCTTCAGTTGTTTAGGGAAACTTAATGGCGAATACTCATTTAGTTCAGGGCTTCATGCTACGGAAAGTTGGAAAAGCTACTATTGTCACCGTTCGTCTATAACGCTTATCTAAAGAGCTAGGCATGCATATCCATGGTAATTCATGAGTTTCAAAGCGGAAGGGAACTTATGTCGACTTAGTGCGAGTAACTCAAACAGTTCATAAGTAGTAAATCTAGGGGAAAGGTCACGTACCTGAACATATCCATCCGTTTTGAAGTCATTGGCTTTGTCTTTTAAGAAGCGAGGATTAAACCACTCAAATAACGAGTAGTACAAACCAAACTTTATATGCGGGTCCTCCAGATTACGAAAAGCTCTTGCAAGCTCATCTAAAAAACAAAAATTTTAAATCGCCCACAAAAATGGCTACGTTTATAACCGATTCACGAATTTGGTATGTCAAACTAAGTCTTAGTTGTATGTTCAATCCACTGATCAAAAGCTGCTGAGTTCACACCAGGTGATGTGTGTTATATATATCACTGTAACGGAATATGGTCACAATCATACTAATAAGTCGTAATTTTTTTTATTCTTTTTTTTTCCTTTACGAGAACAAAGAACCCACTAGAATTAATTTGCCTCGCACCCAACATGAAAGTGTTCAGGCTTCCTTAAGACAATTCAACTAAATGCAGTTCACCCGAAGATTTTTTTTTTTTTGCATGAATATATCAATAGCGGGTCTAAAATTACGATCTTTTTGTTTCATTGCGCTTTCATGTAAATTTAAAATCAGAAAGCATTTAAGAAATCATATATAGTTTTCAACACTCACCAACAATATTTCTATGAGGTCCAACATCGACTGAGTTCCAGTTCCAGGCCGCGCTCGAGTTCCAATTTGTGTAGCCTTCGTGGTGTTTGCTGGTAAACACAAAGTACCTGGAACAAAAACGATGAAATATAATGGCTGATTTGACCATTATCCAGTTGTTTCAGTTAAAAATGAGGTAGAGGAGTTTAAAGCAGAACGATGGAAAAAAAGTAGCACCAGACCAGCTGAGAAGACCTGAGAAATTTTCCGTACCTAATTTGTTACACGAACGTTTAGGCAAACCCGAGATGAAAATTAGGTGGCCATTGTTCAACATTTTAAAGTTAAATTTCCTTACAGCCATCACTTGAAAGCTACTGACGAGATCTTTCGACTTCTACAATTGCAACTCATGGTAAATAAGAGGATGCGTTCATGCCAAGTGCAAATTCTGAGCCGTCTTCTCGGGTGTAAGTCCTGGTTCAAGCACAGTAGAAGAAAATCGTGACAAAATAAATCACTCTGCAGGTGGTGAATTATAGCAAAATTTTTACCTTGCCCCTGATCGGGCCACCAGTTTGGCCCATTTATTGGCATCAAAAAATTCTGCCTTGAACATTGGGGCAAACTGGTTGTAGCTGAATCCCGGAGGATAATTTTTCTCAACAAAATCCACATATTTCTTCTTCTTTAACGACTTCCAGTTGTACCAGAACCATTCATTATCAAAGCTTGGAACCGAATACAAACCCCAGTGTACAAATATTCCAAACTTGGCCTCGTCGTACCAAGATGGAATTTTTCTTCTGTCGAGAGATTTCCAAGAAGGAGAAAATTTCATCGACTTAGAGTCTTTACTTTTAGCTGTTTTGTGTCTTTTATGACCGTTTGAAGTTTTCTCGTTATGCTCAATTGATTTTTCACGTTTGTGATGGTACTTTTTATCTTTGTTAAGATGTGGGTGACTTTTAGATGCAGGGGGGCCAACAAAACTTTTCCTAATGGCTTTATATTCCTTAGAGCTTTTATGGAAATGGCTCTTTCTTCTTTTTTTCTTGGTTTCCTTGGTCACTTTCCTGGAATGCGATTCCTTTCTTTTTGTAACCTTAGCATCATGATGATCAATCCTGTGTGATATCTTTGCAACTTTACGGCCGTGCTTCCTATTACTAAGTTTCACTGAGGAGCTACTTTTCCTAATAATAACGTCCTTTGCCACAGATGTCACCTCCAGGTTTTTTTGCGATTTCAAATGCCTCACTCTTTTGATTTTAGGTCCAACTGTTTTCCGTTTCTCATGAGATGAATGAGAATGAACTCTCTCTACATTAAAGCCCTCAATCTTTACATCCTTTGGTGGGAGTATTGCAATAAAATCTCTTTTATTAGATTTCTTGGATTTCCTAGATTTCTCATGTCTCAAACCATTCTTTCCCTCTTTTTGATCATTTAAATGGTGTTTAAGTTTAGTTCCTTTGTGATGTGATCGTCCGCTTTTGTGACTCTTATTTTTCTGTACAGTCGCTTTCCTATGTGTTGGAGAGCGTGGGAATGAATGTGTAACTGATCTTTCTGAGAGAGAATTTTCCCTCTTTTCAGCCTTATGGCTGTGCAATGTTCTTGCGACTTTATTTCCTTTGCCACCAGTCAGACCATCAATATATCTCGACTCCTTTCCTCCTAGTTTTGATTTCCTTTTCCTTGATTTAGAATCAGAAGATAATGGATGGTCCAAAATAAAGTTTTCCTTTCCATTAACTTCCTTGACACTGTAATAGACAGGCAAGTGAAACTTTTTGGACAACCAGTGCTTTGGGTGATCTCGTTGATATGAATGAAACCGCGTTTGTCCTGATGATGACGTTCGTTGCTTAGGTGTTGTATGACTTTGGTGTTGATGAAATGATTTTTTACTTATGTGTTCCTGGCGATTATCATTTTTCACGCGCCTTTGTTTTGATTTTGTGCTTGATGCGCTTAGTTCCAACCTGTTGTGATGGTTACCAAATTGTATTTTATCAGTTTGACTGAATGTTCCCTCCTCCTTGTTCATTGTTGTGTCTGTTTCCGGATCGCGCTCGTGATGTTTCCACAAATAATCAAGGACGTACTTTTTGAGTTGTTCCCGATCGAAAAGGATGTTTCCAAGGTTCAAAGAGTTGTCTTTGTCCTTCGATTGTCCTTTCGATGTTTGCTTTGTGCGGCCACGAAAGTGGACTCGTTCATCCTGCTCATTCCGCGTCTCACCGTGCAATCTGTTCGTCCCTCTTGGATCAGCCGATGACCAAACTGTTTCAACCGCTGCTAAAAAGCAGATTAGGACTACGAAACTTCTACACATCTCTACTGAGATTACATCGGAAAAGTTTGACATTGTTCTTGAATTATTAATCGATCGTTTGTGAAGACCTGTTTCTATCCGTTATACTTGACTAAACTGCGGCACTAGAGCGTTTAGCGTTTCACAGGCTAAACAGTATTCTTGTAAAGTCTTATCTTTACTTCGACCGATAGAATCTATGTCTCAGTCCGTTCGAAACATGAAATTGCACTCACAGTGCTGTAAAGTGGAAGATGTACTTATCACCAGAATCCCTTCAAAGTGTACGCTACCTTATCATTGTGACGCGAATCACGCTTGAACATTTCGTTAGTTGATGTTTGACAGTTGTAATTCGAGCATTTGCCCGAAAAAACTAATTTTGCAATGTAATCGGATACAGTAGAGGAACACTTGGAGGCTACAGATCAGTCTAGAACTTTAAGCTCAGTAGAATACCTCGTATTTTACTCTCTTAGGGGTTGGACAACGCAAGTGATCGCTTCTTTCGACGTTATTTGGTTTTCTCACGTCTTTGGCTCAAGCATTTTTGTTTATTTGGTCCTTGATTTTTCATTTTTTAGTTTTTACACCAAGCGCCATGTAATTTAGAGCATATTTAATAAATGGTACAATAGTTTCAACGGCATCACCTCGATTGACTATCAAAGATCGAGAAGTGCCCTCCTAACCTAGAGCCCGCACTGGTTATGACCATCGGTTTTACCTTTGCAAGAAACCGGGTCGAGCAAATTGTAAAAAATTCAAAATGGCCGACAAACAAAAGAACAACTGAAGCACGGATTTGTTTCAATTTATAAATTTATATGCCATTCATGGCTGCCAAACGGTCTTGGTCAGATTTTGATCTTCTTCCTGATGGTTGCAGCTCAAAAAAATGCCGTATAGCGAACCCAAGAGAAGGGCGCTCTTGCTATTCGAAAGAGGACGATTTTGGTGAGTTTCTGCCCCTTTAACACTCGAACAATGATCTTTGATTTACAAATTAGGGGATTACTATTATTATGGTGGCCCCACCATGTATTAAAGTCAATGCTATATTTTCTTTGAGATAGTATTTTTTTAAAATTCCCGGCACACACGTAAAATAAGCAAGCAACAAGCTGAGAAATACGTTCTATTAAAGTACTTAAGGTGAACAGATTAATACTTGTAATGGATTTTTTTGTTGGGAGTCGTTGTTGTTGTTTTTGTTGACTTGTCACCGCTAATACTGCTGTTTTTTCTGTTTTCATTTTTTTTCATGCCTTTTTATAAGTTTTCTTCCCGTCCATGTCGCAAAAACTGAGTCAGTTGACGTTATTTACACTCTGAAGTGTCTGTCCATCAAGTTGTTAAAGGGGGGGGTGGGGTGGAGGGGAGGGGGGGCAGGACAGTAGTTTGACTGTAGTCTGTAATCATGTGCTGTCATACCTGGGCCCAGCTTTCTTATGAAAATCCTGATTCTTGCTCCTTCATTTAGAATTTGAAGTTCCAAGTGACACAGAAGCAGCCATATTATATTTGAAGGCTCTTGTCCCATTGGACAAGTTTGAAGGAAAAATTCCTGCTATAATTCTGAAGCATCAGATCTATTGTGTGGTGAAAGATCGTACGCTGGTTGATAGACAATTGGTAAGTTAAGTATAATGTCACAAAATATGTCAGCCATCCCACAGCTGACAGTATCAAGAACATAGCTTGAAAATAATGTACCTCTTGCCATAAGGAGCAAGGTTTTTGCCTTATTTCATCCCTATTCATAAATGAGAATTTTAAAATTATATGGCAATATTAATGTGCCAGAGCTTTATGTTAACAGGAATAAAAGATGGTATGTTTGCAGATGGTACGTTTTTTAACCCTTAAATCCTAGAGACTGATTGTTACTTCTCCCCTCTAGCTGCTACACATTTCCTTTTAAATTAGTTACAAGAATTTGGGGTTAGATCAATATTATAGGGAAAAGTTACATGTTAATCACCTCTGAGAATTGAAAGGTTACTGTAAGTAAACAGTTACAAAGTTCTGCAGTATCCTAGCAGCATATGTTCCTTTCTTTGAAGCCTAAAACCTGACCCTTACAATCCATTTTTAGGTGATACATGTATATTCTAAAAAATAGCTGACAGATGTACTTGTAAAATACTTATAGAAGAAATGCATGGGGATAAATTTGGAAAATTAAACATTTGTACCTTGTTTTCTACATGTACACTTGTCTAACCCTTTAATTCCCACAAGTGACCAAGACAGAATTTCCCCTTACAGTATCAAACAGACCAGCTGTGAGAATAAATAAAAATATCAATAAGGTAATTATTAGTTGATTCAAATAGCAATTTCTCCAAACCATAAGGATTTCAATGCAGAGTATAAGGAGGATTACTATCCGGACAATTTGTGGGAGTGAAAGGGTTAAAATTACTTCTCTGAAACTCATTTTCTATCTCCCTCAGCACAAGCTCCATGAAACACTGTAATTATGTAACATTTCATTTTAAATTTGTTTTCAGAATACTCTTTGGGAGGAGAACAAAATCCGCCTTTTCAAACTGACATCAGGTTCTGATGAGTTTGGCGTTTTAATTACTGATGAATATATTTCTCACATCAAATCCAGAGTGACTGATACAAGTATTCTTCCTGCCATGGGTTAGTCTGAAGTCTTTGGTAAAGACTGTGTGCAACATTTTTCTTTCTTAGAAGCATTCTAATACATGTAATTTTGTAGTTTTTTAATTAATATTTGTAATGTTGAGTACACACTAAAATGTTTTTCAGTTAACTTCCTAGACCGAGACATAAAGCTGAGTTTGGAGCTGGGCTCTTTGACACTTTATGAAATTAATACACAAAACTTTTGGTTTCATGGATGCTATAATACTTATAGTTAACTGCCATTGTCTAGGAGTCTTGGAAAGCCCTTTAAGGCATTCATGAATTCATCACAGGCTTGTTATGTTTTTTTTTTAAACATGTAGTATTAATGCTAAATAGATATTACACATTTTATTTTTAGTAGTTATTTTCTTGTTAGAAATAATAAGTTGATAGAAGACCCCTTGTTCCCAACTGAGTTTCAGAGCCACATGTTGAGAGTGAGGACCTGAATTTGTCCTAGGCTTATTGAGCATGGAACTGTACTTACCGATAATGCCTTGCTTCCAATGTGTGGTTTTTTATCTGTGTTTGTAGAGACACCCAACCAGTGTCTGGGTTGTACTAGTTATACAATCTAGTTGAAGCCTGAACTTTTTTGAATGGGTTAGGCACAGATTTTGAAATAATTGACATTTAATCTTTTGCTTTTATTAAACAATGTTGTAGACAAGTTTACCAATGATGTGCTCCCAAATCATGCCGATGTCAGCATAAGTAAAATTGACATTACTGGGAAGTTCAAACTCTCTGAGGAGGAGATTACGTATGTAACATGACACTACTGAATGAAAATACTTTTATATTAGTGTGAATGTTGTGTGGGTGGATTTAACCCTGAAATACATTCTATAAGCAGATAGTATGCTATGAAAATATTTTTCGTTGATTGGGTTTCTGTTAAATGGCCACCTTTTTATTTGGGTATTGTATCAGGAGTTTCAATAATTTTTCCATGAACAGCTGATGATTGTGTAAAATGGCTGTAAGGTGAAATCCAAACATGGGAGCCTGCATAAACGCCATAAAGCATTAAGATGTCTTACAGGGAGATTAGTAAACTACCAGTTACTTGCTCTTTTTGAAACCCCTGTGTATGGCTAAAAATGCACAGTAGCTGAGTATTTTATTGAATTAATGTACAGTTGTGTAGTACGAATTAATTTAAATAACTGTGGAAAAGAGTTTCTGAGGCCAGTCATACCCCCCTGCCAAAACTTTACAGAGTGCCAATCTTTTTACCTACATGTTGATAGAGCAGGTTCTTCTTTGTTTTAACTTAGAGAGGGTCCCAATCCCTCAAAAGTTAATAGTATTCAAATAGTGACCACTTACTAGTGACGACAGGTACATATAGGTTATGACATTACATTTCATTGAAGCCTGCTCCAGGCAAGATAGTTGCAAATGAGTGAAAAAAGAGGGGAGGTGTGGGTGCATTGCATACACCTAAATCTCCCTTGTTTCTGCCTTGCTGTTGCTTGGGTGCTACAACTTTATTTCACCTTTTTGCTCTGCTTTACTCACTGCATGCCTGGAAAATGCCAAGTTTGATGTAGAATCTGTTATACAACTGACACAGGGGTGGAAAAAGGAAATTGTTGTTACCCTTAAGGGAACTTGCATTTTTATCAAACCTTTGTTTTATTTTATTTATATGTACTTTGTTTTTAAATTATTTTGTATAAGCCCATGCTTTATTTGTGAAGTTTGTATTATTTCATGTGCATTTTGGTGTGATTTATAGGCAACTGGTCAACATTGGTATCCTTACAACCAGAGATGTGGGAAGTTGGTGGCTATCCATCCCTGGTGCAGGAATCTTTATGAAAAACTTCTCTAATGGTAAAGGGAAAATGTTTTCTATTTTTATGAAAGTGAATTACTATGGGAGATGTGTGTTATTTGCATTACTCACCCCATTTTAAGTGTCACAGTATCTCCAAGAGCTATTCTTGAATATGCTTTTGGTGTCTAGATCTCATTAATAATTCTCCTTAATGGTTGCCATAAAATCCCTATGATGTTAGTTTGGAGAATTTGGTATTAGATCAACTAGTACTCCCCTAATTGATATTTTTCTTTATTTTCATCATTTCTCTGCTTGATATCGAGTTGATATTGTGAAGAGAAATTCTGTCTTGTTCACTAATAAGAGTTATAATATTATAAGGTTAAAGGCTTCACATGAGGTACATGTACAACAGAACTTGCCAGAATTTTATTAGCTTCTGGTTACTTGACAGTAATTTTCTCAATAAACAAATTTCTGTGTAGGAAAAAAAATAGGTCAACTCTACCTGTGCATTAGTTTTATTACTGCTATTACTTTACTTCTTATTGTTTTTATTTACATTACTATTATGGACATTACTTATTGGTACTATTGTCATCACTGATATTTATTTACATGGATGTAACTCAAGACTTGCCATAAAACTGTTAAATTTAAATGTTGGAACAAATGTTGATTTTCTTTTAAGGAAGAAAAGCTCTTATTCAAATGTTCAAAAAGAGGAAATATCGGGAGATTCTTGAGAAGGTATGTTAAAATGCTAGATCAATTTTCTCCTTTCCTTATGTAATTTTCTCCAAAACTATAATTATAGTATTTTAACTATTTGTTAAAAAGAAAGTAAAATCATGAAAAGGCCTTGACTGTGCTCTTTTCCGTTGCAAAGCTGCAGAAAGCAGCCAGAGCTTAAAAGACATTAACCCTTTAGACCCTAACATCAGTATCCATATTCTCCAAACCCTTCTCCGTATGTTTCTTTTGGTTCTGACAAGGAGAATTCATTTGTAGATCAAAGCTTCTTAGGTTGGCGATCATTTCCTTTATTCTCATGATCCTAATGAATGGTTTATAGCAGTATTCCTGTGAGGAGAAATTAGATACTGGTCACTCCTAGGGTTTAAAGGGTTCAGGGGAAAACTTGAAAGAATTAGTAACTGCAGAAACAATCAAAAGTTCAGCTTACCATACATGTAGCTTACAGTCCTTTTTTACCCTTGAACACAAAGCGTTTTCACCCCTCAGAGCACAGCATGCGGAAATTTATCACAACAAAATAGTCATGTAATCAGTGTACCGCTGCAAGGGTGCAGTGAAATGCTTAGCAGACTAATCCTGGGAGTTTTTGCTCATAATTAGAAGCAGAAATGAGTAAAAAAAGAATGCAATTATATTCCTAACTACTATTTTATTTGTGATGAATTGTGTTTTCCCTAGAATATGCATGCGTACTTACAAAGACAGACCTTTATAAGAATAGGCTAACAGAATAATAACCATACCAGAAAAAATGCAGATGAAAACAAACAAACAAACTCTCAAAAATATAGTTAAGGGATGAAGCATATTAAATCATAAATACATGACTATTATTTTCAATATTTTCAATGAACCTTTGAGATCATACGTTGACATCAAATTTTGTTGTGCACAAGTACATTTGTTTTGCTAAGCCATTGCGCTAAATTCAAAGAAATATTATTGGTTATCTTAATTGTTGGGTTTGTCTGTTATAATGTTTTTAAAATCATCACAACTTTGTTAGGTCAGGAACGGCTTAGAAACTTCCTTTGCCTTTAACTCACCCATTGGACTTAAGGCAGTCCGAAATGATGTACAGTTATAGCGTACTTGTATATGCATGTCCTCGGGTTCATTCACCCTGTTTTGCTTTTGGGTTTTTCTATCGTAAATATTTTTTTAATCACCATAACTTGATTAGTGAAAGCGTGGAATTGACTCATCCTTTGGACTTTTAAGTCAGTCCAAAACGATATGCAGGTATATAGCTTACATGTACTTGTATGTCCTTGGGTTTACTCTGTTTTGCGTTTGGTCTTAAACAGGATCTTCTCACCCGTAAATTTGATTCTCATTCCAAGCTTGGAATAAGATACCATGTCTATGATATTATCGGAGCTGATTTTGTCAAAAGGTAAATACTTTCGTATTTGTTTTCCTCAATTGATACCAATTTTATACTTGCCAAAATGTTCCACGCCAGCTATTGCTTCTTAAGATAAAGAGTCGATGAATCCATGTTATTATAAAACCACAGAATAGAAAATGAGATGAAAGAGCGCGGACATTCCTTGCTGTATGTTACGTTTGGCAAATTCGTGGCATGGGTTTCAGTCGTAATAATAGTAATAATAATAATAATAATTATAATAATAATAATAATAAACTTTGTTTTTCGAGGGTGGCACTTGACAGTATAAAATACTGATAAACTACAGTAAGAGTTAAATTATCACTATGAACGGTCCAACAACAATGTGATTGATTATTTCCTTTTCCTTTACGCAAACAGCGTGGATACTACATCAGGACAATTACTGAGACTGGACATCCAATCAGAGAGTCGAGCGAGATCGAAAAGATGATCAGTGTCCTTGTAAGGCATTGTTTGATCTTGTTACGCAACGCGGGAAAGAAGGCATTGTGTGACAAGACCAAAATGCGGCTGCAAAGGCGATTATACAACGACACATGCCTCTATTTGTTTAGGGGCTGATTACATGTTTCTGTGAAACAAATTGCTTCTCTTAAATTAATAAATAATTAGCAGTTGTACTGCAAATCTTCTTGTCTTTGATTGTAGAGATTAACATAACAAAAAGTTTCATATAGTAGTAAGAGATGTCATTCCTCGTAACAGGCTCCTTGAAACTTTTTCAAGTTAAAGGCATCCTAAAATGCAAAAGAATGAGAATAACATTTTAATCTTATTTGAAACTTTCACTGTGTAGTTTATTCAATAAATGAAAGAAAACAGATTAAAGCAATGCAGTTTTGGGCAAATGGCAGAATTTTTTTTCGGTGCTCAGTATTCCGAAATATTTATGAATCCTTACAAATCGCCAAAGGAAAGCGTTAAGGTTGACTTTTCGTCTTCATAGCAAACCAGAAATTTTACCAAGTACCTTAGAACTTCGTAAATTTTAATATTTTAAATTATTTGTGATAATTTGCCGCCATGTGCCTGGATGACGTTCATAAAGGGGGACACTCATTGCAATTGGTCCGTGATTTACCAGAGGATTTATGGTAGGTTGGGATATTGGCAAGCACTTAACTTAAATCTATGATAGATACCTCTCGTACAGTGAACTGTAGATGCCTTCATCACGATTTGGGTCAGGCTGATCCAAACTGAAAAAAGTTTGAGAACAACAGTAAAAAAAAAAAGTATTTGAAGCCATAGAGGGTGGGGGGAGGGGAGGGGGAAGTTGATAGGAACCATGACCTTTGAATGCAGTTACGGTTTACTCAATGAAAGACTGTCGCAAGAAGAACGATCTTGGTATAATGTTATTTAATTTATATACGTTTCATTTGATGGAATCATTTGGTAGTTTTGCTTTTTAATGCGTAGCTCACTTTTGATGAATGTGTATTTTTTAAGTGGAAAATCGGGAATATGCTGTCTGTAGTGAACTCCTGTTTCCGATCAGGCCTCTTAATCGTTTCTCTCAGATTTTGTCTCTCAGTAACGGCGCATGCTGGGATTGGTCGATTTAGGGGGCAGTTTTCTGTTCCAGGGCCGATGTTAGGTAGAGAGGAATACTTCCCTACCTTTCATACATTCCTGCATCAGCTGTCTTCCCGCTTTCAGCACTGAGAGAACAAAAAACAGTTATAAATTACTGAAAAAAAAAACAACAAACAAACAAACCAACTGATCTTGTCTTTCAAAAAATATAAAGTATGAATACTAATTGGCTAACCCGCCTATGTAGAGAGGATTTTCACTTTGTTTGACGGGATTTCTTGCAGAGGTGGCCATACTTTCACTGTTGATTAAAGACAAGACAAATTTCAATAAACGAATAATTTAATATTAAAATTGAAAAAGAAAACCAAAAGATCTTCCTACTTCTCTGAGTTCATTCAAAATTTCAAAGAATAACGGTCGATTGATAGTTTTACCTAATGCATAACTGAGATGTGGTGAAAATGATGGGAATTACTTTTTGACACTAGAATGCTCCTTATTTTTAAAATCAGCGACCAAAATATTTCTTATTGTTTCTGTATTTCGAGAACACTTCCATTGGATTGCCTTAAAGATCGATTCATATAACTCAGTTTATTACTCCTTGGAAAATTGGTTGCAGGAAACTTCTGTGAAAGAACGCATATATTATGTTTTTTGTTTTGAAGTTCTTTCAACCTTCCCCATTGGATATTAACTCATACCTCTGATCACCACCACCGCTGTCAACATTGATGGCTTATCACTTTTAAAACACGAACATTACTGATTTATGTAATGTGTAAATCAGCGGGCTTAAAGTATGGACTTTCTCCGTGTAAATCAAGAACAGATTGTTAATTCTCCCTTAAACATTTCCTTGTAAATAAGTCACAAGTGGAGATCAAGACTACTTCTCCGATAAGTGTTTTTAATACATGTTGCCAGGATAATGTGTGGATGTTATAAGGAGAAGTTACTTGAGATAATGTTTGGTCAAGATTGTAGCTTAATTTGAATTGACCACTCCCTCTATGTGGCCGGAAATATTTCTAAACATGCATGCCTGTGCCACACATCGATCCTTAAGATCAGACAGTCTTGACTTATTAAAGTAAAATACTGAAGGTGAACTGAGCTTCGTGAAGAGATAAATGCGAACTCACCTTTCGTACAATGGGTTGTCGCTTTCCTTCACTGTTTCATCGCTGAAAGAAGGCAATTTGGAATCACATTTTGTGGAAAAGCGTACAATTTGAGTGTTTGAATTTGATCAATAAAATTGGCAAACTAGTTTAACCTGTTATTATACATTCCAGGTGGGTCGACATATGTGTAACGATTATCATTTTCTTCTTCATCACAGCCAGAACTGAAAGCAGAAAAACATGCAAGTATGTGTTTGATAAGATTCTTCATATACATTCACACGTTACAAGCCCCGTTGCTCCCTCTCAACCTGACTTTGAAAAAAGCTCACCGGGCGCGACAATTTTAGGATTTACGGCAGATGCAGGTAGTGAAGTAGAAGCGACACGACCATCAGTGACAAAGAAATGTCGAATTGTAACCCTGGCCACAAACTTTCACAGGTTTTACCTCGTGTTACACACATCCGTTGGGGTGGCGTAAATGAAGACTGCTTTCTCGTCCGGTTGAAAGCTCACTGCAGGTGTGTTCCGGTTGTTTTGATTTTCCCTACTACGCCTGCAGTAAATTTGAAAATCCAAAAAAAGAAAAAAAAAACTGGATGAAACATATAGTTTGCTTCACTAACGGTGTGCAAACTTTTGTAAAGATTTTCCGTACATTTAGCTTACTCTAAAGGTGCCGTTCACAATCGATAGTTGAGTTCAAAATGAGATCAGAAAAGTAAATTATGAGAGATTCCTATACGACTTGCTATGTACGCTTGCGAAGGTGGCAAAACTTCACATTAGCACTTCATGATTTTAAATGAAAAAAACTGTAATTATCCTTACTGTCTGCTTAAACAAACCCTTTACCTCCCAAGATCTTATTAGTGATTATCCTTACTGTCTGCTTAACAATTCTCATGATAACAATTTGATATTGGATCAACTAATAATCCCTTAATTGATATTTTTCTTTATTCTCATCACTTCTATACATGATATTGTATTTATATTGTAAGGAGAAATTCTTTCTTAGTCACTCATGGGAGGTAAAGGGTTAAGGATATAATATTGATAACAAAAAGTTGAACTTACCGCTTTTTGTGAAAACAAAACAAAGTTATTGCGAGTATCGCACAAATTACTACCAAAGCTGCAGTCAATCCAGCAATTAGGGAGGTGTTTGACTCAGACTCTCTTCCATCGTCCAATGTGTCAGACAAACCTTCTCCTCTTGTCATGGAGGTGTGATCTGTTTTATCTGGAGAGCTGAGTTTGCTCTCTCTAGTAGAAGATATCTCTTGAGTGGTCTCTACGCTTGATGACGTCGTAGTTACTTTGTCTTTGACCATGTTTGTCTGAGTTGAGGCAAGGGTAGTGCTAGTAGTTGTTTTGGCTGCTGTGTTGAGAAAGATAGCGTATTTTTATGTTTGTGGCATATACAGAATATTCCAGAATAGGATTCCTGGCCCAGCTTATTGCTATTTGGGGGCATGTCAGCTTGTCTTCCATTAATTGGTTAAACTACGCTGTACTTGATTATGAGATTTCTATCGCGTTATAGTGTTCATGTGGGCAAAGCCCGAATCACTGAACTATTCAGCATAAAAATCGAGGGCGAATGTTATAGAATTTTTCTTAATAAAAATCTTCCAGTTATTCAAAACGTAACAACAACCCAAGCGCATATTTTTGTTATTATGTTTGCAACCGCTCGCTGTTATGCTAGTCACTCTACTTACTCTCTATTACGCAATAGATAGCGGGTAGCGTAGCCAATCAGATTGTGACATTCTGATTAGATTGCATATTCGCTTTAAACTAATAGCTATCATCACAGTTATTACGTGTTCTTATATCGGTCAATTTTGCGAGCTGTACTCTACTGAGCAGCTCGTTAAAGTAGAAAACTGTTTGTGTGGACAAAATCTCTCATTCCACCCCTTCCCTTCCCCGAAGTAACTTCAAAAAAGTTATGACTTTCGTGGCCAAAGAGCAAATCGCAGCGGAGAAAACTTAAGTATGAACCATCAACTCGGTTAGTGTGAGGTATTTATAACCTTTTCCTCAAAAAGACGGGACTTCTATGAACCTTGAGGTCACTCCATGCTACGCACTGACAATTCAATTTCTTTTAAACGTATTCTCGTCAATGGTTTTTAAGTTAAGCCTTAGAAATCATATCAAAACCTCAGTTTCATGTTAAGGCTACTGTATACTTTTGCCTTTCGTAAGCACATCCGTCTCCAATCGCTTTATCAAAAGGCAAATAACCTGGAAAATTAAAGAGTACAAAGACATCACCCTTTTTCGAGAGAGTCAAATGTAGCTATGAAAGTTATCGGATGTCTAAATGTTTGAGGTTTTTTTAGGCTTACCCCTAATCTTTATAGCTTGGTACCTGGCACGAAATCCTTTGCCTGACAGAGTATCATCTGATCGAAAAATAACCGTAACATTGTTTCCAGTGGAATTTAATTGAGGCGTTGTCATGTCATAGACTGAACCAATCAACACTGTTGTTCCGTTCATTAATGTTTCCCACACGTTGACAAAGTCACACCAACAGCAACCGGACTCTAAACTGACGTCATCAAAAGTGATCAGAATAGCGTAATTCCAAGGGACTTCAATATGCCACTTGCACCAGGCCTTGTTGTTATAGTTTTGTGGATAGTATGGACTGCGGAATGTGCCATTCAGTGCCGTCATTGTCTGCGTGCACTCTGTTCGAATGAAAGGAAGACTAAGTTGTGAAAAAATATGAAACATTGACCAATAATGATGTTTAAAAAATGTTGAAGGGTAAAATATTGTATTGAGTCCAACGTTAGCGTTTTAACATATAGAAAGTCTTAAGCCGTTTTCGAAAACGGTACACTTAATTGATAAACCACATCCATCGGTGTGGCAATTTTTTTCATTACGAGCATTTCTTTGACGAATCGTTACAGGCAGGCTTACGAGGAAGGAGATTAGGTAAGAAAGTCGAAAACCGATTGGGTCACACAAGCGTGAACATCCAGGCCTAATTCAGATGATGAAATATTAGTGGCATTGTAGGATGGAAACTGAGTGGTTGGCCTTCAAAATCAATCCAACAAGAGAGCTGACAACAGACAGGAGGGACGCATATCCGTCCCTCTCTGACTCCGTTTGTTTCCTTTTAACAATTTTTAGCATGAGAAGCATGACCTAAGTGGGTAGCAAGCGTAAACATATGGCTTTCGCCCCACGCCTTTGCATGACTCCACTCTCCTGTTTTGTGTAGAGGACAGAGAAAAGACTGCCATGCAGGCTACGAGATTTGCAAAAATTCGTAACCTGTCGCAGGTGTATTTGAAGCTTCATTTCTCGACTTGGTTCTGCGTGAGCGCTCCAGCCTATCAGATGTTTTTTTTTTTATCATTACTAGTTGCTACAAACCACAACTTGATGATAAGAGAGCCTGTTACCTCTATAGTAACAGTAATGTATTTTCGGCACGTAGAAGTCGGCTCCATAGGGATATGGGAACGATTTCTTGTCTATATTATGATCATCTTCTGTGTCATATGTAATGTATTCCATCTTATGTATGGTGTACAGAACTTCTTGGCAACGCCGTCTAAACGCCATCAAGTAAAAGGGAGACGCAAAAGGAAGATCTATTGGCTCTTTATATCCGTTAACGGTGTTCTTACAGCAAAAGAATATCTTTGTGTTGTTATTAAATACTCCTTTTGGAAGAATGCCGGCATGGGCGTTTTTGTTTGTTCCGCCAGCACCATCTTCGTCATCCCAAAACATCCACCCACTTTGCAGTCCATCTGGACAATCAGAGCCTTTCTGATAGATGCAGTACTCTCCGGCAGGCCATCGGGGTCTATTTCTCTCCACTGCTGCTGTTATGTTGTCCTTTATACAGAAAACTGTTCGACATCACCCGAGACCCGGCCTTTGAGCTGAGAGTTCGGAGAGACAGAAGTAACACTATCCTCGTCCTCGAGATCCTGGTAGATGTATCCTGTTTGCCATTGAAATCCATTTGCCCCTGGGCAGCCACTTTTTGGCATGGGTAGTCCATACATTCCTGACGGCCATAATGCGGTACAGCAAACTGTGGAGAATTAAGATAAAGGTTTAGCTTATTTCAGAGCTAAAATTGCGAGTCGATTTCTGTTCAACCTATCCCGAACTTACATAAATAGTTGAAAACCCCTGCGGATTTATTTTCACTGTCTCGAAGGGAATTGTGGCAAACTCTTGCAGGAGATAATTGAAGTTTTTTTTTTGTTGTTGTTGTAAAGGTATGAAGAACTTTGAACATTGTGCTCGATGGTGGAGAAGCTCGACGAATGCAAAATTACGCTCTTTACGACAATCACGTCGCCCTGTTTTATGATACAACTGAGAGCATTTAGACGGAGGCCATTCTTGCGAGACAAATATTGATTAGTTAGGTGGCTGAAATTTGCATAATCAGAAATTAATGCGTCTGTGCTTTTTTCAGCACGGTACTACCCGCTGGGTTTCATTGCCCAAGTTAATTTGTGAAGGAAGAAAACATTCATCTTGTGAGGAATGTCACATTCTTTTTTTAATTCCTCTCATCGAATTTTGCGATTAAGGGCGGCTATAGGCGGCACTGTCTCTATAATGATAAAATCTTAAACTCGGGAGAAGTGATTCTTAGATTTTTACTGAAACATCTACGCATAAGCCGCTTTCAATTTCGATAAATGGCCTGAAAATTATTTTACCGTAGCTCGGTGATATATGCCGGGTCTTTCAAAGTTTACCGTGTCAAAATTCGTAGTTAATACATTTTTCAATTCTGTATCCAAAATTCAGACCCTAGATACAAAAACACATAAATCAGTGTTGTTGACACCGTCCGCGTCAAACACGAAAGAGAATAAGTTTGAGCACATACCTTCTAAAGCAAGACAGCTGAGACACAGAAATCCTACCGTTCTGGGAAGAACGTGTAAAAGTCGTGAAATCAACAAAGTGCGAACCATGTTTTGTGTTTTTTTCCCATCGGTTCCTCGTTGGTTAAAATCTATTTACCCAGGCTTGAAGGTAACTGCAATTTTATTCGCTCGAGCTGACCCTATCGATCGATGACAGCTTCTTCTCTTCGCGATCGAAGTTGGTCACAGTCATACGATTCATGCGTGACCTTGTTGTTACATAAGCAAAGCAAACAGGAAATTAGCTTGAGTACTTCACAATGATCACGTCCTTAAATGTCCCGGCCTCACTGACGTTCTGTCCTTTAACAGGGCTGATCAAATTTTAATCGATTGCCTTGCGGCTTGATGGAAAATCGATATTCAATGGAAGAACAGAGTTTAAATTTTATTTTCTATTTTTTATGACTTGTTTCGAGTATTCTTATCACGCGTCAAAGCAAACTATTAAATCTTCTGACAATTTCCGCATTGTGTTTAAATGACAGGAATGTGACAATTTTATCCTCGTTAATTTAATTGAATTTGGGAACTTGATCTTGTGTTTTCCGTCGAAATCAAACTATTATAAAATGCGAAATTACATATTTCGATGTCGCGAAAACCGTCATATCTCAATTCTGAACAATGCCAAAGCTGATTTCAAAGACGAGCTGCGTGCAGTTCGTTAATCAAATTAGATCAGTGTGAAATTTGAATAAAGAACTATCGATAAGAGGACGAGTTTAGGTAGATTTTGCCAAGTACGTGGGATATATAAATGGATTTAAGAATTAGGTTTGAAACATGTTAACTCAAATCAATTCGATATGGGGATGAACTTTGAAATTGAATACAGGAGAATTTATAATAAAACTGGTTGTCATATTTGGGCCAAACGTGCAGAAACTTGAATTTGAAAATGTTTTCCCCTTTGGTAGCATGACCACTATCTGGCTATCACCGTAATATGTAATGTTCGCTATGTTTTTCCAGATAGCAGGGAGTCGTATCACAAGTTAAAAACTCTATGGGAGTGTTGAAATGTTAAACATATTCAGTAGAGTAATTTGTGTCATTTTCGCGTGGTGATGATATGAAATCGGCCCGGAGGGCGAAGAAACACCTCACCTCGGTTAATTAAAATTTAATTTTGCCTCTTCGGAAGTTTTCAGACAAAGATTCTTTTCTCTTTAGTGCTTTATTCGTTACTGCCGATTTTTTTTCTCCATGTTCTTAAAGGAACACTTTCTTTAGCTGGTACACCTTCAGTTGTATATGAAAACATCAGTCATGTAGGAATTGCGGTAAAGACTTAGGTGATTAGAATAATCTAGTGCCTTGAAGCAAAACGGTGGCGTTTCTATCTCCCTTCTCCAGACAAAGTACAGCCCGTTGCCTCTCTTAACGCAAGGCTGATAAAAACATCAACAGCTGTTGCCATTTTGACCGAAAAAAAGGGTGTATTGCAAGTCTTATAATTTTCTTTACTAGAAGATCAGTTTCCTTCGCGATTAACTGTTATCCTGTAGTTGACGACGGAGTGGTCGATTCCTTCCTTGTTATCTTATTTAAAGGTGAAAGTATGAATTGCAACTTATTTGTGACTGAAGAGATTCCTTTACGAGGGAATAAAAAACCGATTAGAATTTGCCTTGCTTCAACGTTTGGCTTTGTGGCATACTTAATAATTACACCCAACTATTAGCCTTGACATAGCCGTTCATTGCTTGCTTGGTTATGATTTAGGGCTAGGTATAGTTGCTATGAGATTTAGCTCACAAGCTTCAAGTGCTTTCCATTCAGGATCAGATTCTTTGTTTGTAAGTAAGACGTTTCCAATAAGCAACGTCGATTCATCTAAATGGACATTATTGAAACATGTCTGATTATGAAGTCTTGAAAAAATATTGTCTGACCACACCATGGCTGTTTTGCACTTGCAAATTTAAGTTCAATCAACGCGTCTATTATCTTGCGGAAAGCCTAAAAATTGAAAATCAACGAAGTATACTTTCAGTCCACAGTCGTCACACATATATTAGACCATCCTGAAATCGAGAGAAAAAAATGGCAGTTTAAAAATGTTATTAATTACTCTTTCCTTCCCTTTAATTGCGCTTTTTTTAAACTTATTAACATCAAAAAATGTATTTATTGAAATAATTTCACATGATGAAATTTACTCTTGAATGACTTTTTATTTCAACCTTGGACCAATAAGGTATGATCTCCTGTTTAAACCAATGAAATGAATGATGTTACTACTGCATGGTGGAATCGTTGCGTAAGGTCTATAAAGAGCAAGAGATTATACAATGTCTTGTATTGAGTATGATCTAAACAAAGCTTTGCCCATATGAGGTAGCGAAACCCAGATTGAAATAAGTGCGATAAGTTTGTTCTCGATGTAAAGAAGAAACATTTTTATAGATCAATATTATGTTATCATTAACTGAGGTTCTAGTAGGATGCATATGTATTCTCTTACAACGCAACTTCCTCCCCAATCATGCATGGCAGCAAATTCAACCAAAGCTACGTTTAGAACTGCAACACTGACCCTTCATACACCGGATTGATGCATTCAGCCTCTTCTACACTTTGTAAAACATCATCCATGCTAGAACGAGATAATCACTCAAGTCATGCCACGCAAAAAAACTAACTAGAAGAACAGAACAGCTGTGATAATTGTTTAAGGTATTTACCTTTCGTACAAAATGTTCTCTTTTTCGTCTTGTCCAGTTTCGATGCTGAAGGTGATAAGAGAATTGGAAACGTGAGTATCGCTCTATTTTATCATTTGCAGATCACAGAGTATTTGGTCAGCGACACACCAGCTCGACTCTTATATATACTACACTTTTGATAAAGCATTAAAATAAATCAAATTAAGCCGCGCGCATTTACAAAATAGCTCTTCTTTGTCACTGTTTCTTTAGAATTAGGATAGTTGACTTTTGTGGAAGGCAGAAAAGCAGTAAGCCTACAGAAACACCGTGGGTTTAAGGGCGAGAACCAAAGGCAACGTAACCCACTAGTAATGCTAAGTACAGGAATCGAGCCCGTGCCACGGTATTGATAGGCAAGTGTTCACATTAAATACCTGTTTTTTCGTTTTGGCTTCATGTGTCAATAGTGAACAAACGCACCGCAACAAAGCGTTTCCGGTGATTCTCACTGATTTCATAATTTTTATAAGTATGGTTAATGTGTACTTCATCCTTCAAGATTTCTTTGGAGGATTGCTTTGGGGTTCTGTCACATTTACGATTCACCTCGAGCCTATTTTTTTCATAATAGCCTCTTTTTGTTCATACTATACAGAGATATCATCTTTGAAAAATACATAAAGCTGGACTGACACATGGCAAAAATAAACTGTTTGCTCCATCAAAACTATCTATGATGAGGCACACTGGGACGTCATCGTTGACAAATACATGAGGCTGGATTAATACGTGGCAAAAATTAAGCTATTTGGTACATTAAAACTATCTATGATGTTACCAAAGTAAAGATCTTTTATGGTTAGGGACAGTACTACTGCATTTCTGACCTGCTGCAATAGAGCGGATTGTCACTCTCTTTGATCTCGTCATCATCCGCAAACTGGTCATAGGAATCCATAAAATCCCTGTTTTGAAAAAGACAAAACAAAAAATTCTCATCATCTCAAGGAATCGCTATTCTCGGGTATGCTTTAGGTATCTTAAACACTTTTAATATTAGAAAAATAGTCGTACCTGTTATCGTATAAAATGTTAAATTGTTCCTTCTTTGTCAACGTTTCCGTGGTGTAGCGTTCTCCTCTCTCATTTTCTCTGCTGAAACTGGTAACAGAAAACATTACCTACAGATCTACAAGGATTTTATTTTCTTTTGTACATACTTCCTCGACGTTACGACTGTACACCACCAGTTTTCTGCAGAGAATTAGATCGACTGGTTACCTGTCCACTTAAGAATAACTATGCTCCGCAGTGATTGGCTGGTTTTTAGTAGCTGTGCTTGGTGCCGATTTTTTGACGAAAATTTACACCATAATGTAACATCAGTGTTAGGAGAATTAGGAAGCAAAGAAGAGAATTGACTCGCTTAAACGCTGACTTCAGCTGTGTTAGGGCTCGCCCATACTACAGGGCATCTCAAGTGCCCACCTTCTACGTAGGACATCGCCCGATTTGTAAGGCAGCGAAGTGTATTGACTGCGATTCATAGTCAATTACAATCAATCTCGGCGAGGTTTAGTGCTCTACAAGGAGGCCTCGTCGCCTCAGAGTGACTTATAGGTGTGTCGGCTGTGAATTTCCGGTTTCCCTTAAATTTTGTCGCACCCAAAAGCAGTGTCAAACATTGCATCGTCAAGGGATCTTTCATTTATTAACATTCTCAACGAACGAAAAATGCCGTCTCTTTAACTACCGCGAATTCATTACGTTGTCGGTATCTTCTACACTAGTTGATATCAACAGCTGTAATACAACGAGGGACGGCAACTGAAAGGAACACAAACTATAAACGTCGAATTCTGTGCACACCTTTCGTTGTACATGTTTGGAGGGTTGTTATCGTCTTCAGCTATCTTCTCACTAGCTGTGTAGCTGACAGTAAATTTGTTATGACCTTTGTCTGTCCTTTTGAACCGCCTAGAATTCAATTAAAAGGGTAAATAATTAGTATCAAGAATTTTATACAAACGCTATTATACATTTTTAATGAATTTTTGCCTGCGTTGTTTGTTTTCGAACTGATAAGCTGTAAAATCTGGTCTTTGATGTCCCTCAAAGGCCTAAGATATTTCATGGAAGTCCACACCTATTTTTCTTTTAATAAAGATAGGAAATCTGTGAAGGCATTACATCGTGGTATGTCTCAAAACTGCCGTTGAAACATTAGTTTTAGAACTGACCCCAAATGATTATGCCTTGAACTCTGATCGTTACGCTTTACTTCTTTCATTGTAATGAAAAGTCATGGTCACTGTGCGATCAGTTATCGACTAATTTGCGATAGGTCATCGATTATCCATACCAGTTTCTACGGAGACAAACAAGTGCTACTGTTACCACCACAGCTAAAGCAGCCAACGAAGCTATCAAAGCAACAATGATGGGAACTTTCCCCGATGCTCTTGAATTTTTGTATTCAGCCTTCTGTTCGGTTTCTCCATTCGAGTTGCTCGGTTCCCCCTTACTCCTTGATTCGGTTAGTGGAAAGAGTTCTCCACTCGTTACCCTTGAGGTTGAAGTTCTCTGGGTGGTTTCATGCGGCCTTGTTCTTGGAGGCACCTCATGATCAGTTGTGATTGGTAGTGTTGTCACAGGTATGTTCGTAAATGGGGAGGTAAACGATCCGTTTGGATTGGTATGAACTGAGGATGCTTTTTGCGATGTTGAATGCCCACTTGAGCGTGTTGTTAGGGTTGATTGTTCTGTAGAGGATTCTTTAGCTGGTGTGATTGTTGTACCAGTTGTAATTTTGCTGTTGTTGCTTAAAGAAGTAAGTGTTGCTGTATTTCCGGCAGTAGGAGACTTATCATTTCCACTTGTTGTGCCTCTGGAATTTGCTCCAGTAATCGGAACTGTGGTAGGACTGACAGAAGTGATATCGGTTGATGTCGCTTTCTGCGTGGTATCTGTTGTTCTCCCCGTACTTGTTGGTACTTTGTTGAGGAAAAACGAAATACAGAATTAACGTAAGTTTGCGTGTGTGTGATTGATGGCCTTTGTCAATTGCTATATTCTTAAATAGGCGAATCTAAAACATTGCAGACAAAAGACGCTTACAAATACAAGATCAAATCTTAATTCTGTAACAAGCAAACTAATTCAAATGCCCAGATCACTATCGTAACATCGACCATTTGGAGAGAGCCTTGCTGACAGCTTTTATAATAAAGAGCAAGCTACTATTCTTACTTGTAAGCTGGAGAGCATGATATTCAGCCTTAAAACCCACGTCTTGGACAGTACCATCTGAGGTAAATGTAACTGTAACGTTATTGGTTTTTGACCGGATATCCCCAGGCGGATACGCCACACCCATACAGTATTTCCCTGTTAGTTCAGACGTTCCATTTGGAAAGTTGTCGTGTATCTCTACATAGTCGCAATCACAGCTTTGAAAGAGACACATATCACTCGTTTCCAGACGGAAGTCAACAAATGTCAATGAAATTATGTAGTTCCAGGGGACATTGATATGCCACTCACACCAGGCCTTTTCCTTATATGGAGATGGATAGTTTGGACTTGAGAAGGAACCATTCAATGCTGTTAAGGTCCATCTACACGCTGCAAAGAAAATACGTGGAAATGAATCGAACCAGCTTGTGAGACGTTCTTTGACCGACAACCATTTCCACAAGTCACATAACTGTAACACTACCAGTAGTTTTCCCGCTTTTTATAACATGAAATATCAAGGATTATTAAAGCTACTCCCCCGTACGAAATGTAGGACATAACAGGCTACTTCTAACAATTTATCAATTTTTCGTGGAAGTTTCACGGCACAGTTATGTACCCATGAATGGGCAGAGGAACTTTGATGCCACCATGCGAGGTCCTTTATCTTCAGAGTCACGGTAGTATAGATACTATGCACAACGCCCATAAAAAAATCGTTTTTGAACCCGTTTTTTCCTCCCGTGATTGGGGAAACAGCATTAAAAGTTTAATCTGATCAAAGCTTTCAGGAAGTTTTTCTATTCTTCTATATTTGGTGGCTTGCCAAGAAGGTTGGGAATGAAGATTGTTAAATATTCCATTTAAATTTTTGTACTCGAATTTTCCACTACACCCAGTTCTATGGTTAAGCACCATGCAGCAAGCTTATCACAACCCAGTAGAACTAGGTGCAAACCCAAGCTCTTTAAACTCACTTCCTCGGCCTCATAAGTTAGTTGGGCACAAATCATCATTAGGTCATGGAACTGGCCATTAGAAAGGGATTCAATGTCTCAGTCCCAAGTAGTCTACAAGTTTTGTAATTTTACATACCGTCTGTCTAGATTTCCTTAAGCAAAAATAACCCAGAAAACCATCGCTTACCTTGGTAATAGCAATAATAAATGTAGGGATTTTGAAGATCCGCACCAAAAGGATAAGAATAGACCGCGCGGTTATGATTGTTATCATTCTCTGTGTCATACAGTATATACTCCAACGTATGTGTTGTTTTCAAAACTTCTTGGCAGTTCTTACTGTTAAAAGCTATCAGATAGAAAGGCTTGTCTATTGGCAGCTCGATAGGTTCGCTGTACGATCCAACATCTTGACAACAAAACCTTATCTCAGTATCTGATTTGTACGTTCCAGCAGGGACAGTACCGGATTTGAAATTCAAATTTATTCCATGTTTCCCGTTTTCATCATCCCACAAGACGCTTCCTTCTCGTAGATAGCCTGGACATGAAGAGCCTTTTTTATAAATGCAGTATTGACCGTAAGGCCAACCAAATCGACCGTTATCAACAGCACCGGTCGTAATTGTCTTGAAGCAGAAGCTTTGAGTAACATCTCCCGAACTCAGTACTGAAGCATTAAGGTGAAAGTTTGGAGATTTCGCCGTAAGGCTTTTGTCATCCTCCAAATCTTGATAGATATATCCGGTCTCCCAAGAGAAACCGTCAGCCCCAGGACAACCAGATTTAGTCATAGGTAGACCGTATTTTCCCGACGGCCATTTGACGGAATTGCCAAAAGCTGAAATGAGAAAATATCATCAGTTATCCGTACACCGTATTTCTGAATAAGCGCCTGGTCGCGAGTTTGAAATTTCGGCGTAGAGGAGGGGCGCTTCAAGGAGGGCGCTGAATTAAGGGGGTGGGGGAGCTAGTATGTTAAAAGCAATAGGACCAAAATCAAAAGAACAGATCTAGTATATAAAGGAACTCTGTAAGCATATGAAGATAAAAATCAAAGGGCGCCTTTGGCCAACTCGTGGATAAAGTATTTATGAGATATATAAAAAGTTGCTATCAGTAAACTGAGGTGTTAAAAAAAGGTAGAAAGTAGAACCATTGTGAGTATAGAAATTATAGTACTTAAGTGTGCAATGGAAACCACAGGACGAAATATCAAGAATTCTTAAACGGAAACTTGGATGAAATATATGAAACCGTTGCGGAAACACGACGGTTAACACGCGTTTCATTTATCTTTGCCGCACTTTTTAGTTGCTTTTGTGTGAGCATTCTAGTCTTGTCAGTGTCTTGGTGGTACATTCGTCAGAAACTGGGTTCCGACGCCTAAACATGCATAAAGTCTATTTCTGTGCCTCTTCATTAAAATTTGATCATACCTTTCAAGGTTGTAGGTTAGATCTAAGAGTACGTATTTACCACAATGTGTCGTAACTAACTATGCCTACCTTTGCAAGCGTTACAACTCTTGCGGCAACTGTATAACATGTAGTTTGGGTTCCTTTTACATTCACCGATTGATGCCCAATACGAACAAAGCTTGTTGTTATCCTGACAACCTTGCAACAAAACATGAAGCATGCAGTGCTAAAACAAGCTGATCAAAGATCTTCTAGAATTAGGCCCTTACAGAAAATCTTAATTCTTAACTTAAATTACAGAGATGTTATAGCATGAAATTGCAATCGAGTTTACAAACGTGTCCTGTTTTGTAACTGAAACTTTAAAACAAACAAACAAACAAAAACAACATACGAAATACGAAACAATAAATCACGTAAATATGGATTGTTGTTCCTGTTAGCTGGTTACATTACACTTTCACATATATTTACATGTAGTCTTGCTACTCATCCCAAAAAAACTACACAAAACATTGGAAAACATAGCAGAAAAAACACAAGCACAGAAAAAAACAATAAACATTAAAAAAAATGAGCAAATTGAATACGTTCGATGCTGACTCTTGGCCCGAAATATGTTCTTAATTTTTTTTTAACATTTTGTATCATCTCGGCCACAGCTTTCCAATGTAAAAAGGTTCTTATTCTGCATGCTTCAATCAAAACACAAAAATCAGTAAAAAGTAAGGAAATGAGTACAGTGATCAATTTGTTTAACCCTCGCTTGGAGTTTTGTGGCTTTTGAAAATTTCACAGTGAAACACGAACTAAATGGACACCTTCGGAACTTTTAAGCTTGCTAGCGTCCGCTTGATACAGCATGTCAGGTTTCATACATTGCGCAACAATGGTTAATCTCTAATTGCTAGGAAACAAATAGTCGAATTGGCGTTTTACGAAAAGTGGAGAAAGTAATCCACCTCTGTAAATAATTACAAAAAATAGGTAGAATTGTCTCAAAGCTTCTCAGCCAACACAGGTTTTTTTTATGAAAAACGCTCAGTTTTATTGCCCTCCTCTGTCCGCGCGATACATCCAGAGGTTTCCTCTGAACACAAGTGTAGTTGAAACAGAATACTAAATATGGGAAGAAAATTCTGGGACTTGAGTCACAACATGGGGTTCGTACGGCACAGGTTTCACTGTATTATGTCTGCAGTAAAACAAGGCTGTCAAGCGTTTTCTGGTGGCAAGGAATCCTCAGAATCTTGTCACACTATTTGCTGGTCTGTAATGGCAACTACGTTAGGACCCCTTCCAGAGGCGGTTTTCAGTGAAAGAGACAGCCGGTCGTTGAAAAAAAAAAAGAAGATGGTAAAAGAATAAATGTATGCACCGTCCGAGTGGACAAAAATTTGTGGCCCTAATAGAGCGCTAAAATTATTGCAATTGATACTTGCTTGTAGTGTCACCACGAAACCTTTGAAAATTATATTTTTAAAATGAACAGATGTTAATGGTGGACTATAGGCGCAAAATATCAGACATTTTGTGCGACAAAGCTGAGATATTCTTGTCTCTTCCGGCGAACGAACCTCTAAACACAATAATCCCATCGCCTGTTATTCTGATGATACAACGTCGAACTGCTCAAAATGAAAATTCACAAGTTTAGACTTGTACCTTCTATCCATGAAAAACTTAAGAGCACAATTCCCAGAACTCTGCGCCAGACAGCAACATTCCAAGAACGTCTCCGTCCGTCAGTCATTATCCTCAGCTTTTAACCTCTTAGGGCACAGAAAAGCTAATGAAGTGGATTCGACACTGCTAGAAAAGTTTATCGGCCAGCCATGCACCTCGTCACGGGAGGTATACAGGTCAAATACAAATAACTAATTGATGAATATGTCTATCATCAGTTGGTGATTTTGTCCTTTAATCTGCTCGGTAAAAAAAGCAACAAAACCTGAAAAATGTTTACTTAATACTTAGTAACACGAGAGCGGCACTGCGGTAGTGAAGTATTAGTGTCGTATTTTTACGCTTTATTTTATTCTTGATTCGAGTTCTCAACTTCCATCGAAGATATTCATACTGCACACTTATTCATGGTGCGCCATGTGAAGGAGGAGTTGGAAGTAGATAGTCGGCAGTCTGGATGAATTCATTCAACTGAGGAGTGTCACGATAATTACTTGATAACAATAGGTTGATAAACGCCAAAAAAAATGACGTAATGTACAAAAACGAACCGGGATAAACACGGATTACAAGAGGTTGAGAGTACACTCTTGAAAATTGAAAAAAAAGGGCCGTAGCTCGCCTGCCTGCTACGTTGAAATTACGTGTACTTTTGTGACTCTATGTGCATGATGATGAACTTACGGTGACATGGCTTAGAATTAAGCAAATAGATTTAAATGTTTTTTTTTTTTTGGTTTATTTATGTAATAAGCACATGCACATGACATAAAACCTCGGTCATTTTAACACCGAAGAAGGAATAATAAATAAAAAGAAGCTAAAAGGAAACACCAGATGCAGACCATTATTTCTTTTTTCCCAAAGAATTAACGATAACTTGGAATATACATAGAACTTAACTATGTTCACGCCGATAAGTTTTTTTCTTTTTCAAATTTTGTTCCGCTAAATCTTTCCACGATCTGGACGGTAGTGAAGTGAACATTCTCACAGATGCGTCACGTCGCAGATAAAGCTCTTGAGAGATTCAAACTAAATCTTTTTTCCCTGAACTCCGCGCAGTCTCCTTGCGCAATGATCGTTAACCCTTTCACTCCACGGAATGCTCAACATGTAAAATCTCCTCACAATTTCACCATCTGTCAACCAAACATGCGAAGAGAATTGAAAAAAATGATCCATTCTCTTGATGCAGCACCAAATTCTCAAGACTAACAGACAAATAATTGTATTTATAGAAGGTACGAGAGTTACTTTTCAGATACCTGTATTGAAAGGATAAATCATTATTGTTCCTCTCAGTATAACACTGCATCTTAATACAACGAACATAAATAGTGAGGCATCCTTCAAGTTAAGTCTAAAGTAAACAACCCTTGACGTAGATGTCAATTCCTTACATTTTAAGACCAAAGAAAAAACAACAATCCGGGTATGAAGGTTTTGTGCCATAATTGTTTAGATTAACATGCCACGACAGCGCTAATTGAAAGGATGACCTTGAAGAAAAAAAGCACCGTCATGGAAAATGAATAGATACGTTGGTGTTGTCAGAGAATTAAAGATTCAAATTTTTTTATTTACTGTTAAAATCCTGTGGCAGCGTGGAGTATTAGCAAGACATAACTCTGTCTGCCTAAACAGGTAAACTTTCCTGTTATCTAAGAAGGTTATCCAACTATCCAGCTTTCTTATATGAATTAGAAATTGTCACATATGTCCTTAGCCAAGTCTTGTTGTTCACCTCAGGCCCGTCTCTAAAACAACCTAAACATTAAAAACAGAAAAGTGTCAGTAAATTTTTTTTCCTTTGACCTTCTTTTCTTTGATATTTTGTAAATTATCTACAATTTATCACTGGTTTAATGAAGAGGTTCAATGCAACCCCAAAAAGTATTTAAGCTCTGCCTCAATGCAGATAGAGTTTACCACATCTACCCAGCAGATTGAGTGGGAAATGCCAGAAAAAAAGACAAGTACTGACTTTTGCGAATTTTTTTCGAATATTTCGCTTTGCAAATGTGTACAATGTATACAGCGAATACGTGAGATAATACTCCATAATGATAATAAACAGGCGCAAAAAAGAGTACTAAGGTATTTCTTTAGAGTGCTCTTTTGACTGAGAATAAACTTTAAGACGACCACGCGTCTCCCAAAATTGCCTCCAACGACGGAGGAACGTTTAGCACGATACGCGCATAACCATCTAGCACAACTTCGCAGACGTGTAAATATGTAGCGGCACATGCACTCTCCCACCCGGTTCTGGGAAGTTAGATTAAATTGGATGTGGTCTCTAAGTAAACGTACTGTTCATAACGCCGATTTTCTGTCCTTGGATCCTTGTGACTTGAATATTGGTTACTGAAATAAGACGAAGTGAAATTTCATCGGTGTGACATGGACTTATTATCATAAGTTTATTGTCATAAGTCCAAAAAATCAACTTACCCTTCATATAAAGGGTTCTCAGTCAGGTGGCCTTTTTCTGAATTAAGTCTAAAAAAATAAGGTTCAGATAATGTTTACATTATCTCACACATAGTCCTCAACTTCCTTAAAGTATTTTAAGCATACATTATCTAACAAATGAACTTATATAAATTGAAGCAACGTGTCGTTTACTTTGAAGAGCAGAGAAATTGTCTTTCAGTACCAATTGGCTATAAGAAAAGGACAAAAAAAACTTGCTCCTGGTAACAAAGAAGACATTAAACATAATCTATTGCAAAGCGAGAATTTGACATTAATGGAAATTACCGGTTGTCATCGCTTTGCTTATCTTCGAAGAACAGTTCCTCCATTTCACCACTGAAGGGAAAAAACAAGTTTAGGAGCTCAGAAATGTTAGTCCCCTAATCAGTTAAAGAGACGTATAGTAGCAAGTGGGTCGAGAGGTACCGGGCCGACCCCTAGTAGGGAGTTGATGTATTGTGCTACTTGGCGAAACTTAACTTTAGCTGTCATCGCGTATTTCTCCACCAAAGGGTATTATGGGTGCTAGAAAACAAGAAATCTGGCGAAGTACTGGCAAAGACCTGCCGATGGACCGGTAGCTTGCAGAGGGGAGATAACAATACCTTCTGACACTTAACGCTTCAGA